GATAGATAGATAGATAGATAGATAGATAGATAGATAGATAGATAGATAGATAGATAGATAATTTTAGAAAGCAAGAAGAAAACATTTTTTTCCTATTGCTTAAATTTCCTTAACATGGAAATAAATAAGACATACAGAGAAATCATGTGTTCTTTTCCTATGTTGTTCATTTAACTCTTGTTTTTAAAACTATTTTGAGTTTTTTCATAAAACTTTGAAAGCATTTGTCACTTTTATTTTCTTTAGTGTTTTTTTTTCTTCCATACAGGATCTTTGCATTGATGGCGACTAATTTGTGTGTTTTTCTTTTTTTCTTTTTTCCTTTTTGCATGCTGTCCCCTGTGTTGGAACTCTCAATAGAGAGTAAGTTGGTTCAATATTTGTAGAAAAGCTAACTTTACTGCATGACTGTGGAATTAACCCGTTTTCTCTGTTTTCTCTCCTGAAGAGTTGGTGCAGTGTTGGACCCTTTGCAATCCACGACATGCTATTTGCAGTTACGCACACTGTCATTCTGTTTGGAGATGTGCTTTGTAATCTACTAATTGATCTAATTTCATTATGTTCTTCTGTTCCAAATTTAATGGCTGGCACACCTAAAATAAAGCAGGTTTACATAAACAGAGACTGCCTCAATTGTAATAGGCCAAATATTTGATTCTTTCCTGAATAATTCCAGTTGTGAAATATCAAATTGATCCATTGGAGGTTTAAAATAATTCTCAAACTTAAAGATTATTTAAAAAATACAAAATTCTACCTTACCACCCCCAGGTACTCTCTAATATTCTATTAATATCATTCTGTAAAAGTAAGCAGTGATTATGAACCACTAATTCTACACTTCAGTTTGTAAAATATAATTTTTATTCCTTGCATTGTATTTACATATTACATTACTCATGGATGAAAAAAGGGGACAATATTGACTGACTTCTGAAATGCATTCTCTGTGGGAGCAAAATCACTTAGGAAAGGTTTTGTATCCTTTTCAACATGTTAGGACTGCGGTTATGCATTCATGTGTGGGTATATGCATACGCATGGTCAGTATTATCAGTGATGGGATATATTACGTGTTTTCAAGTAATACAGTTCTGTATGCAGTGGCCTGTAAGTCATACCTCTGCATTTTATTTATGCTACTTAACATTTTCCTAACCAGAAGAATTTTCTATCTGAGACATTCAGAGAAGTCTCTGGAAGGAAAGAACAGTTATAATCTTGGGTGAAGTGGAAGTTAGACTGTGCAGTTATCTTGAGTCAGGAGGATTGCCGTGAAATTGAAGCCGTCCTGGGCTATATTGTAAGATTTCATCTTGGGGCTAGAGTGTTAGCCCCAATGGTAAATGCATGCATAAGGACCTGAGTTCAATCCCAGAACCCACACTTTTAAAAAGCTGAGTCTGATGATGCACAGTTGCAATCTTAGTGTTGAAGAAACAGAGGCAGGCAGGTCTCCTGGCCAGACACCCTAACCTATTTGGTAGACTCCAGGCCACAGACTCTGTCTGAAAAGTAAAGTGGACAACACCTAAAAAAATGACACCCGAAGTTGACCTCTGACCTTTAAATACAGGTGTATACATGTGCACTCATGTGAACATACATACAAATGAAAGACCCTTGGGGTGCTCAACATTAAATGGGTTGAATCAAAATCCTGGAACCTAGTGAGACCCTCTAGCTCAAAAATAATTAAAATGCACATAATATTTTAGTTAGAGTGATAATGTAATTTGAGAAAACTCTAGTAGTAGCTTGTGTAGCTAGTCACGTTATAAGTTTCAAATAGGTGATGGAATATGTTCTTTAATCCCAGCACTTGGGAAGCAAAAGCAAATGGATCTGTTTGAGTTCTAGACCCGCCAAGGCTATGAAAGGAGCTTGTCTCAAACAAACATATAAGAAAAAGCTTTATGTAGGAGACATGGGTGACTATGCCCAAGCAGCTTCTTGATAAACTCTGGGGATTCACATGTTGTATATAAGCAGTGGAAGGTGAGAGAATTGTAGGAAAGTGGAAATTTTATGAAATATGTATGGAAGAGGAGACAGAGTTCATGTTACTAGGTGCTCCAAGGCCAGTTTGGAGAGGTTAGAAGGAAGTGTTAATGATTCCCACTAACTGGGAATGTGTAAGGATTTTATTTCTATCAAAGTAACATTTCAGTGATTTTACGTAAGAAAGAAGCATGAGTTGGCAAACAGCCTAAAGGCTAAATCTGCCCACGGTCTGGTTTTGTAAATACAGTTGTTTTGAAACAGTTGTACTAATTTTATGTCTATGGCCATGGTACAAGTGACAGGTCTTTGAAGTTTCTGGGAAAGCCTTGGACATTTATTACCTGGCCTGTTACAGAAGTGATTTGGTGACCCTGGTATACAGGCCTGAAGGTCAGAGGCTTTACTCCGTATATCAGTGTTTTAGTAAGCAGACTTTGGGAAGGCCAAAAAGAGCTGTTCTTGAAGATAAAAAGGAAAGAGGTGACATTAAAGAAAGCAGCATCAACCTAAAGAAAACCCAATCATACTGAACTTAAGAAAAAGCCCTGCTCTGCAGTGTAAGCAGAGGGTCAGGTAGGGAGTCAGATAGCAGAGACACCTCAATACCTTTAATCCCAGCACTTGGGAGGCAGAGGCAGGTGGATCTCTGTGAGTTCAAGTCTAGCCTGGACTCCAAGAGCTAGTTCCAGGACAGGCTCCAAAGCTAGAGAAAAACCCTGTCTTGAAAAAAACCAAAAAACAAAAAAAAAAAAAAGGAAAAATATGGAACAGGAGGCTTGGGCTTAGGAAGATGTAAAATTGGGTCTTTTTTTAGGAATGCTCATTAGAACATAAGCGTAAAGGAAGTCAGATTTCCATGAAAGGCAGTGATAAATGAAGATATAAAATGTTGTGGCTACAACTCAGCCAAAAACACTGTGGAACATGAAATTCTTAGGCTTTCCAAATGTCTTAAGATTTTCAGAACAGATTTAATTATTAGAATAGTTATTAAAAATTTACAGTTGGGGGGCTGGAGAGATGGCTCAGGGGTTAAGAGCACTGGCTGTTCTTCCAAAGGACCTGAGTTCAATTCCCAGCAACCACATGGTGGCTCACAACCATCTGTAATGAAATCTAGTGCCCTCTTCTGGCCTGCAGGTATACCTGTAGGAAGAATACTGTATACATAATAAATAAATAAAGTTTTTTAAAAAAGTAGAAAAAGAAAAAAAATTGCAGTTGGACCACTCAGAAACTAGGAAACAATTAAAACATAAAAGTGACTTAAAAAAGAAATAGTTGAGAGCTCATAAAGCAGCTGCAGGAGAGATAAAAGCCCTACTTGTACTGGGTTGATCTCTGTAATGCTCTTGTAACTGATCTCAAGTGCCCAGCAAACTCACAGCACCTTCTAAAAACTTAGTCACCTCCCACCAAGTCCTGACTCTGTAAGATGACTTGTTGAGGGACATGAAACCAGCTCCAGTATGCTGCCAGACAGATTTGTCAGGTGACCAGGAAGAGTGAGTGCCAGGGTAGATACATGCAGTTGCCACAGACTAGGTCTAACAGAATTCTTTTCACAATCTAATAGGCCCAGAGGAGAACATGCAAGAGTTTAAGTGAAGCCCTCTGCCAGCTTTGAAACCAAGTTTTGGAGATTTAGTTGGGGGAAAAGTAGGAGTTGTGGGGATCTGCATTATTAATGAGTAGGTACCACCTGGGGAGCAGAGAGCACTGGAGACTTCCAAGTAGTCATAATTGCTGTTTTCATAAATACACACCATCTTAAGAAAGTAACTAAGGTGGAGTTTCTTTTAACCAAGTTTCAGATGTTCGAATTTTAAGTAGAGGAATCTTCCTTCCTAAGTGGCAAAAACTAGAATTCATTACAGCTGAATAAAGTACATTCCAGAAATACTGAAAATAAAGCAGTTTTAAATTAGCAAGGTTACTTTCGAGATTGCCGATGAATTTTTTTAAATGGAACAGGAGATGAAGCTCGGTTGGTAAAGTGCGCAGAGCCCTGGGTTCAGTCCCCAGCTCCGCATAGACTAGGTGTGGAGGTGGTGCGCTCCTGTAATCCAGCAGCCTGTTGTCAGGGGTATCTTGAAGACCATCTTCCAAGACATAATAAATTCAAACCCAACCTGGGCTGCAAGAGATGAATCTCAAAATGACCAAGAGGGGAAAAATGACTGGGCAGTTAAGATCCCTGACCTGCCCTTCAAGAGAACCTGGGTTCCGTTCCCATCACCTGCATCAGGCAGCTCACAACCCTGTGTTGTCATATCCAGATCTGCTGTCCTCTGGCTTCTATGGGCACCAGGTGTGCATGTGGTATACAAACACATAAAAAAAAAAACAAATAAAAATAGCCTGGTTTTAGTCATCTGTTCTGATTCTGCCGTGTGTTAGTATTGCATGGCTATGATTCTTAGAAAGATTTTTCTCTTACATAGAAATAAATCTTCCATTATAATTGATTTCTTGCAAAGAAAACCTTACCAAAGGTCACTTTTCTAAACTATTGTAATGAAACATCACATATGAGTCTTAGTTTGCCTTTCCCTTAAGGTTTCTTTTCACATTATACAGTCTTTCACGCTGATATATTTAATCTTGGAACCAAGTATAAAACTCACCAACATAAGCTGGGGCATGAGGGCACACACCTTTAATCCCAGCACTTGGGAAGCGGGGGCAGCATATCTCTTGAGTTCAAGTCCAGCCTGGTCTACAGAGTGAGTTCCAGGACAGCCAGGACTACACAGAGTAGCACTGTCTCAAAAATCCTAAAAGAATACATAAATAAATCTCATCAACACAAGAACATTTAAATTAAATGTTCTTTTAACATTTAAAATTTAAAATTTTAATTTAACATTAAAATTTTAATTTAACATTAAAAATCTAACTAAATTTTAGGTACTTTTATTCTCAATTTTATTATAGAGATGCTTTTAGTTACTATACACAAATCAAAATTACTTTTGGGGCAGTTTCAGTAAATAATAACTCTTATACCAAAATGTTTGAGAAATTTGTCATTTTGTAAAACCTAAGAATATTTTTAATCAGCACATTATTGTAGATACATTTACTACTGTATGGTGACTATAAATACAGTGATTTTCTAATTTACCCAGTATTATTTTTAAAAAACTGTGTCCTTGAAACTCCATACAGCAACTCCTCCATTTCTTAGAAATGAGTCTCAGTTTAGCTCGCTTAAGCTGTGGCATCATTGATAACATTAGGTGTGCCAGCCATTACGGGCAGTTTCTTTACCAAGTGATGCTGCATGGAATAGCTAATTGTCAAACTTCTGCAGAAGTTGGATAACCGCGCAGATGCACTCTTGTATCACAGAGTCCAGTGAAAAGCAAGAGTTTTTTTTTTCCCCGCTTGGCTGCCAATCGCTGTGCCTCGATTGTTCCTTTTTCCCCGTCTATTTCTGTTTTGAATTGAGCATAGAGGTCAATATTTCCTCTTTCTTCTTCCCACTTCTCCCCTTTATCAACTACAGGTGTTCAGCATGTTTTTGGAGACTCTGGTAGATTTCATACAAGTCCACAAGGATGATCTTCAAGATTGGTTGTTTGTGCTGCTGACACAGCTGCTGAAAAAAATGGGTGCTGATTTGCTTGGTTCTGTTCAGGCAAAAGTTCAGAAAGCCCTTGATGTTACAAGGTAATATTTTCTACATGTATTTCAAGTTTACCTAGTGGTAATCACGAATATTTAATCCTTATATTTATATTAAAGTTTCATTCATACTGGTTTCAGTACTTGAAGCTGTTTATGTGTCTTAAGTAAAGTATAACTGACATGAGTTGAACGTTTTCTTCGTTATTTAACCATAGTAATTCTTTCTATATTTGTTTACATCTATTTTAAACATATTTATTGTGACCAATTTACTTCCCAGTCTTCATTTTAACCTTCTGATAAATAGATATACAAATTAAATAAAATGTAATTTATATTTACAAGTTAGTATTTTTTGAATCTGAATGAAAAAGTCTGTCAGTTCAGTGATGTGGTAGTGTTTTCCTCTAATGATTTAATACTGTGACTTTCATAGTTTTCCAATGCAGATGCTGATTTTAATCCTTGCAAATTTTTTGGCAACTTGTGAAACTTTTAGAAGACCAAAAAAAAAAAAATCTCATTTTTTACCAAATTTTCCCTGCTATATTTATTATCTATTGACATTTCTTACACCATTTATTTTTTGATGTTGCTTTAAAAGTGGTAGATTTCCTGTTTCACCTCATTCATTAGTTGTTGTTCTGTTTTAGAATATTCTCTTTCCGCTGATTGTCAGTCCATCATCTGTCATTCCATCTGCCATCTACTGGTTAGCATGAATCAATGGGCCCCTGCTTATTAGGGGGTTTATAAGAAATTGCTTTCTTCTATTTGATGTTTAGACCATCCCAGATATGCTCAGTGGGTACCCTTTGACGCTACATAGTTCTTACTTTTAAAATAGTTTCATCATTTTTGAAAAGAGCTTCTATACTGTATATCTTCCTGAGATGGAGCAAGCTCATCTTAAACTTTATCTGTCTCATCCATTCCTCCCTGGGTCCTTGTTTCATCCTGAAGGGAAATGTTTTGGAAAAAGATTTCTGAATGTTGGTTGTGCTCATTGCTACAGGGATAGTCTATTTTGTTTTTTTTCCTTTTCCTTTTTTTGGGGGACTGGTCTTTTTTATTTTTATTTTTTTATTCATTTTATTGAGTTATACATTTTTCTCTGCTCCCCTCCCCTTCAACCCTCTCCCATGGTCCCCAATTCTCCCAATTTACTCAGGAGATCTTGTCTTTTTCTACTTCCCATGTAGATTAGACCGTTGTATGTCTCTCTTAGGGTCCTCATTATTGTCTAAGTTCTCTGGGATTGTGATTTGTGGGCTGGTTTTCTTTGCTTTATGTCTAAAAACCACTTATGAGTGAGTACACATGATATTTGTCTTTCTGGGTCTGGGTTATCTCACTCAAAATGATGGGTTTTTTTTTCTAGCTCCATCCATTTACCTGCAATATTCAAGATGTCATTTTTTTCTGCTGTGTAGTACTCCATTGTGTAAATGTACCACATTTTCCTTATCCATTCTTCAGTAAAGGGACATTTAGGTTGTTTCTAGGTTCTGGCTATGACAAACAAAGCTGCTATGAACATAGTTGAGCACATGTCCTTGTGGTATGATTAAGCATCCTTTGTGTATATACCCAAAAGTGGTATTACTGAGTCTTGAGGAAGGTTGTTTGCTAATTTTCTGATAAATCATCATACAGATATCCAAAGACATCAATCACCCTTTATAATTTGATCTTACGTGAAATTAAAAGCTATTCCTGTCTTAAAGAATGTTTTATCATGCCATTAGTCTCCAGAAGGCTTTAAGCCAATGGTAGGTTTCTACCTTCTTGATCTTATTGTTGAAGTGACTTACTTCACATACCCATATACTAAGTTGAAATGAGTCTGTTATTCAGATGATTTTTTTTTTTTTTTGGTGGTGCTTTTAGCCACTGAGTCATCTCTCTAGGCCCAGAAGTTTGAACTTTTACTGACTAGATTTTTCTAATTAAATATATAGTTGAGACAAGCCTAGTTTAATTTCTTAATCCCTTACTGGCTGTAAATTCAAATGCCTCTATTCTTATACTGTGCTTCATAGACTGTACCATTTAATCTATCAGTTCATACATACTTCGTGGGTGGCATGTTATTTGGGTATTAAATATAGTCTTTTGCTCTGGAATTTGTTAAAATGCATACTTGTCAACCTACGAGTTGGGGTTGGTTGCTTTTTTTGTTTAGATTTATTTATTTATTATCTATACAGCCAGTGCTCTTAACCTCTACGCCATCTCCCAAGCCCTACTGATTTTATTTTTTTATTTTGTTTTTTCTTTGTTCTTTTTTCAGAGAATCATTTCCAAATGATCTTCAATTTAATATCCTAATGAGATTTACAGTTGACCAGACCCAAACACCAAGCTTGAAGGTAAAAATTTGATTTTTTTCTGAAACTATTATAAGAAATTATAGTATTTTATTAAGATAGGGTAATATTTGTATTTTTGTCACCCAAGAAGCTGCTCAATCAGTGGGTTTTATTTTTATAAACTTTCAGACAGTCAAGCCAGCACTCCGGGACCAGCTTCACTCTTTTGGGAGCGCAAAGGTTTTTCTTTTGTTTTTATGTTAGCCTGCATTATTTCTTTCCATAACTCTCTGCACTGTTCCAGATGATGTTCTCTGCATCCGCATTTAACTACTCACTTCCTCATCCCTTTATGCATGCATGTTCTTGACTTCCAATGTTCTCCAGAGGTTGACCTGTCTTTGGAAAGGCTCTCTGTGCAAACACATTTTAAAAGCATCACTAAGTATGGCCGTCTAACCTGAAGCTGGTAATGCAGAGTTAGTTTGTAAAATCTTATTTAATTTTATGTTTGTGATTTGCTAATACTTTTTTTTCCTTAGTTGTAGTTTTTGGAGTCTTACAGGTATTTGGGGCAAAAACATAGCATTATTTAGGTGCTTATTTTAGTAAAGACAGAATGTTTTAAGTTTAATCTCAGCTCATTCTCCCTATCTGAAATAACATTTTCTGCAATGTGAAATTCCTAAAACAAACATAGAGGTTGTGTCAAGACTAACAGTTTCCATTTGGACACATTTTCCAGTTGTGTGAAAACTAGATAGAGTGCAATTTGTCATTTAAAATGATTAGGTTGAACAGAAGAAATCAAAGGACTTGTATCTGGAATATAGCTTAATTGGTGGAGTGCTTGTTTTTCCTGAGCTGTAGCCATTGAGAGTAAAGTCAGGGAAATAAGAAGCGTATTGCTTACACAAGCCTTGTAGTTTCTGTTGTGTTCTATACAAATGTATGCCTTACTACCCAAGATTGATTTTCCCTTTACACCTTGGAATGCAGTTGTGCCTCTGAATCACAATTGGTTTCTACCAGGGTTGACTACGCTCACTGTAATGTTATTTTATTAGAGCCACTAGGTAAAAAAAGACCACTCTTTTTATTTTGAAAATTTACCGCCGGACAGTGGTGGCGCACACCTTTAATCCCAGCACTCGGGAAGCAGAGGCAGGTGGATCTCTGTGAGTTCAAAGCCAGCCTGGTCTACAAGAGCTAGTTCTAAGACAGGGTCCAAAGCTACAGAGAAGCCCTGTCTCGAAAAATCAAAAAAAAAAAAAAAAAAAAGCAAAAACAAAAAGTTACCGACAGAAGAAGGATTTATTCCATATTAACACACACTGGAGCTTATACTATAGTCAAGACATTCCTGAGAATAGAAAACTTTGAATTTTTTATTATTATTATTATTACTTATAATACTTAATAAACTAAATGATAATAAAGGAGATGATGTAGTTAATTCAGTAGCTGTTGAAGCTTTAAGTGAAGACATTTTGTGTGCCTATGCAAATGTAGCCTGGATCCATCTTCAGAAAAATGAGTCAGGTGTAGTGGTTTAGGCCTGTGACCCCACCACGGGAGCTGCTGAGGCAGGTAGATAATCAGGGATGTGTCAGTACTGAGCACACAGAGGGTCTAGGTTAGCCTCAGCTATGGGGCCAGACTCACAAACTCCAGGAGAGACAAGGGTGTAAGGAGGAATGAAGTGCTGAAGACATGAAGTGAAAGGCAAGTAAAGGGAACAGGGATGTGGGAAGCATATGAAGTCAAGACAAGCTTCCTGTGGGCATGGACTCAAAGCTGTTCTTCTGTGTCTAATGTAAAGATAAGTACAGTCAACACCAAAGCTAGAGGGAGACGGCTTTGTTAACATTGAGGCAGTAGGAGTAAGTCTGTTGGTGTCATCCTTCATGCCCAGGTAAGAGTAACTGTTAGGGGCCTGACAGGATTAAATATAAAGAACTTATCAGGGTGGTGATGCTGAAGAGATGGCTCAGTACTCAGTACTTACATTCAGGAGACTAGAGCTCAGCTCCCAGCATCCAAAACAAGCAGCTTTGTTGACCTCTTCTACCACCTGCTCATACTTGCCATACACACATGTACAGACCCAAGCACATACATGTAAGTAAAACGTTTTTTAAGTCATAAGAATTTAACAAGCTGGAAAGATGGCGCAATGGTTCAGAAGAATTGTCTCCAAACATGACAACCAGAACTTGGACCTCAGCACCCAGTAACAAGTGGGTATCCTGCCAACACCTGTAATTTCAGTACCAAGGGATTCAGATCAGTGCTGTCCTCTTTTGGCCTCTGCACACACATACACACGCATATGTATTCACATGGAAGCACTCGGCTTTTCAGGACATGGCTTCTTTGTGTAATAGTCCTGGCTGGCCTGGAACTCACTTTCGTAGACCAGGCTGGCCTCGAACTCACAGAGATCCGCCTGCATGTGCCTCCCAAGTGCTGGGATTAAAGGTGTGCGCCACTACCGCCCACTCATCATCATCATTATTATTAAACTAAAAATAAATTAAAGTAATAAATGTTTTTTTAAGAAAGAAGATAGCAGTGGACTAAATAACTATAGAATATAACTATAGTTATAAATAGCTATAGAAACTGGTTTTCATTGAATTACTGGCATTTGTTAAATACATGTGGGGTTTTTTTCCCCTGAATACTTTTTCCAGCTTGACAAATATGCAGATACCTGTGCAATGATATTGTTTTGTTTTTTGGAATGGAATGTATAGTTGCATCATTAGTTGTAGACTGCATGACTATGTGAGATGTCCCACTTCTAAATTGGGAGCATTTCAATAATCATTTTTCTGTAGGTACTCATTTATTATAATTAACACACCTATATTGTGAAAACCTTTCAAAACTGCATTACTTGCGTTGCATGGTTGTAAATGCCTTTAATCCCAGCACGGGGGAGGCAGAGATAAATGGATCTTTGTCAGTCCAAGGCCAGCTTGGTCTGCACAGAGTTACAACCCAACTAGGGATACATTCTAAGATTTTTGTCTCAAACAAAGGAATAAATAAATGAAATAAAAAATAAAACAAAGCAAAACTATGGGTACACATGGTATAGCACCCACCTGTTTCCCCAGTAGTCAATATGTAGAGATAAGGGATCCCTGAGGCAGGCTGGCTGGGTAGACTGCTCACATTGGCAAGTATGTAAGTGGTGAGTGAATGAGGCAGACATTCAATGTCAACCTCTGACTTCTATATGCTCACACATGAACATGCCCAAACATGTGAACACAGATACATGACATACACAATGCAAAATAAAATTTTTTTCAAAAATCTTTTGTGGGGCCTATAGACATAATTCTATGCCAGAGGGCTTACCTGACATCTAGAAGGCCGTAGATTTGATGCCCAGCAAGGCAAATAATGATAATAACAACTTTAGAAAATAAAGGATCCCTACAGACATGGCTCATTGGTGAAAAGTACTTAGCACTCTTGGAGAGGACCTGGGCTCAGTTCCCAGCACCCATATGGCAGCTCACAACCTCTACAACTACAATTTCGAGGAATCTTGTGACCTCCATGGGCAACAGGTGTGCATATGGTACACATACATGGAAGCAAATGATCATACACGTAAGAATAATCCATAAAGATAATCAAAGTAAGCAAGCCCAGCTTGAGGGAACCAGCATTTAGAAATTATAGAATGTTGGAATATGTGACCAGAAACAGTGATTTTTCAACCTGTTTATTTCCACTAGCATACTGGAGAGAAGAGATTTTAATAATTGCTCACTAGAAGAATTTAAAATGACTGAATATAGAAAGATGTGTGCTTTAGAAATAAATAGCTCCATCTCCCACCTGACAATAGCCTTTCATTTTTCTTTTTTCTTCTTCTTCTTCTTCTTCTTCTTCTTCTTTTTTTTTTTTTTTTTTTTTTGAGACAGGGTTTCTGTGGCTTTGAGCCTGTCCTGGAACTAGCATTTGTAGACTAGGCTGGTCTTGAACTCACGGAGATCTGCCCGCCTCTGCCTCCCGGGTGCTGGGATTAAAAGTGTGCGCCATCACCGCCAAGCCTGGCAACTACCTTTCATGCACTTTATAGGAAAGGGTTGATTGGGAGAGCTGGGGATGTAGCTCAGTTGCAGAGTGCTTAGATAGTCTACACCAGGTCCTAGGTTCTATACCCAGCACCTTGTGAACTGTACTCAGGAGGTAGAGGCAGGAGAATTAGAGAAGTTCAAGGTCATTCTCAGCTACAAAATGCATTTGAGGCCACCCTGGACTAGAGGCCCTGCCTTAAATATAAGTAAATTAACAGTTGTGTTACCCACTGTGATTACAGACTTTTCTTGTTATATCCTGTCATCTAACGCTGGCTGTTTCCCCAGAAAGAAATGACTGTGTAAGACTAGCCACCTAAACACTCTGAAAGCAGACTCGAGGGGGGCAGGCAGAATTTAGAGTTGGTTAAGGAATTCTTCAGCAATTGTTCATACTCTGGGAATGGAGTACTAAAAGTTCTAGTGATTATGAAAACAAATCCTCACCTCATGTCAGATGGGTAAGTAGCTGTACCATTCACTTGAGGTTTGTTGTTGATTCTGCTTCACTTGGCAGACTAATGGTAATTATTTCTGACGCATGCCCAGTGTCTCACAGAGTCCATCTCACTAACCTTTCAATGTGCTCTTCTCTGCAGGTGAAGGTCGCTATCCTTAAGTACATAGAAACTCTGGCCAAGCAGATGGATCCAGGGGATTTTATAAATTCCAGTGAAACTCGCCTGGCAGTGTCCCGGGTCATCACTTGGACGACAGAGCCCAAAAGCTCTGATGTTCGAAAGGTGAGTTTAAGTAGGATCGGGGTAATTTTAGGTATTTGTTAGCCAATCTTTTCTTAGATACAGTGTTCTATTTATTTCATCATAAGTGAGGAGTTAGCTTTCCCTGTGCTTTTTCTACATCCTTTTCCATCAGTGCCTATAATCTTTATTATACTGAAAAATCAATTCTTGCTAATGTGGAGATTTACCGTTTGTTGTTTGTTTTGCAAGTTTTCACTCCTGTACCAAGTGATTTGCTACTGCCTTCTTTCTTACATTTTCTTTTTTTTTTAATTTAACTTTATTTTTATGTGCACTGGTGTGAGGGTGCCAGAGTCCCTGGAACTGGACTTACAAAGAGTTGTGAGCTATGTGGGTGCTGGGGATTGAACCCAGGCCTTCCAAAAGAACAATCAGTGCTCTTAAGCTCTGAGCCATCTCTCCAGCCCCCTGCCTTAAAGAAGTTCTATCCTTAGAGTTATTGTCTAACTTTTTATGTCCTTGAGTTATGATTTTTTTGAGATATTCTTTTATCACCTGGGCTAGCCTGTAACTCGTTCTGTAGTAGATGACCTTGAACTCTTGGTCCTCCTGCCCAAGAGCCAAGAATGCTGGCATAGACCACCATTCCCAACTTTTCCCAACTTGACTGTCATGCTGGTATATGTTAGTATTTTTATCATTTCTGCCAAGGACTTATGACTAGCATTTTCTGTATACTCAAAAATATAGGTCTTTGTGCTAGGGAAATGGCTCCATTGGTTAAAGTGCTTGCCATACAAGCATAAGAACTTGAGTTTGTATTCTCTTCATATACATTTTTTTTAAAGTAGGCATGGTAGCACATGCCTGTAATCGCAGAGCTGGGAAGAAGCAGATACAATAGAATTGCTGGTGTTTACTGGCCAATTAATATTTCCCTGTCATTGAGCTCTCTGTTCAGTGAGAGACCTGGTCTCAAAAACTAAAGGAGTGCTGGGGATGGTGGTGCACATCTTTAATCCCAACACTCGACGCAGAGGCAGGTGGATCTCTGTGAGCTGGAGTCTAGCTTGACCTTTGGCCTCAGGTTTGAACACACTTTAGCAGATGTACATGTGCATGCACAACTGTACACACATGAACACAAACACATGCACTTATCACAAAACAAAAGCAAAAATATGCTAAAGTGAAGACATGGCATAATAAAACTTACTGCACACAGTTGGAACTCACGATGCACAGACATACACACAGACAAAACACTCATGCATGGCAGTGATAGTGATGGCGAATAAGATAGGAAGTGAGGCTGGCAGCACAGCTCAGAATGTAAAGGCACATCTCCATAGCGAGTTTAAACCAGCAGGAACTGTGGATGAGACCCTCTCTCAAAAGAAGAAAATTGCACACTGACTGGATGTGGTGTGACCAGCCGCCTCCTGCTCCCACTTACCAGACCTTTTCTCCACGAAAAACCTGTGCCCTCAAGCCGTGAGCCAAAATAAATCCTCCATCAGATATTTTATGGAAACCCCTAATTCAGAGCTTATAATAAAAAGAAACATTTTAAATCTTTTATCCAATCAAACACCATAAGGCAGTCAAAAAGAGCACAGCAAAGTCAGGCGCTAGCGGCACACGCCTTTAATAGAGGCAAAGATGGAGCTCTCTGAGTTCGAGGCCAGCCTGGTCTACAGAGCGAGTTCCAGGACAGGCTCCAAAGCTACAGAGAAACCCTGTCTCGAATAAAAGTCATGGGAGGGGTGAGGATGATAGAAGTATGTAATTGAGAATAAAGAATAAGGCAGAGGCCAAGAATGCTGGAACAACCCTTAATCCAGCACACTCTGGAGGCAGAGGCAGGCAGACCTCTTAAGGATTCAAGGCCAGCCTGACCTACAGTTTCAGGAACCAGGGCTGTGTACAAGGGCCTTATCTTGGAGAGGGGGAGGAAAGAGAGAAAAAATGAGAGAGAGAGAGAGAGAGAGAGAGAGAGAGAGAGAGAGAGAATGTCCAGAGCAAGGTGTTTACATTGAATACAGGTCTTGTGACCATACACCAATTCATGCTCTCCTCTATAAATTTTATACAATTTTAATTTTCCTACAAATTTTATGTTGTTTCAGTTTTTACAAAACACCTAACTTACCTTACCTTGAGATTATCTGTAGAGTTTTTAGACTAGCTGCTTGAGAGAAGACTACATATTGCTAGTTAAAGAATCCTACAAAGCCAAGCATGATGGTGTGCACATGTACAGACGCAGAACCCTTCGGGGCTGCATAGTAAAATCCTGGTTTGTTTCATTTGTTTGTTTGGTTGGTTGGTTGGTTGACTTTTTTGTTTGTTGTTGTTTCCCCCTTCTTGTGCGGCTTTATTTTTTAATTATCATACAAAGCAACATCTTTCCATATGAAGTTTTCATGTGTACTTGGATTTTGTTAATTCCCCTCCTCCTCCCTTTACCCCTCTGTTGTCTGCTGCCCATGTACACATTTGTACCTTTCTACCCCAGTATTCCTTCAAAATGCCCACCTTATTTTTTAGAAAAGTTCACATTGAGAAAATTTAATTTCAGCATTAAGTCACCCTGAATAGGAGTCATACAACCATCCTTTTTCTTTTAATCATTTATTAGGAAAACTGAAACAGTAATATATGCTGACAAAAACCTGCAAAGTTTTGTCATCTGTCACCTTCCATAGTCCTTTCTTAACTTCAGGAGATAAATGGTAGGGAGAGTGTTTCCATCTTCCCCACAAAGGAACCATGAAAGCTAGCGTTTTCCTTTTCTGTGGGAGAGGCGGTCAGGCCTTGTGCTGCTGAGCAGAAGAAAATGATCACCCATCTTCGAGTAGCCAGAATACATTTACTTACTTTTTGTATGTCTTTGTTTTTTCCAGGCAGCACAGTCAGTGCTGATTTCTTTATTTGAACTCAATACCCCAGAGTTTACAATGTTACTAGGAGCTTTACCAAAAACTTTCCAAGATGGTGCTACTAAACTTCTTCATAATCACCTTCGAAACACTGGCAATGGGACCCAGGTATTTCTCACTTGTCTAGGTGGCTGTTGTGTTCTCTTATAATTGGTTTGACTGTGATTGCTTTGTTTTGCACTAAGTTGACTTAATTTTACTATATGATTTTTTACATCTGCATTTGGCGATATTTTCTGAGCAAGATTAAATACTGCCTTGGGAAGAGTAGAGTCCCTCAAGCTATCCTGCTTATATTATAACTTGTATACATTGGGGTAGTAGTTAGCAGTGGCCAACTTGGAAGGAAAGACACTTGTCTGTCTGATGGCACCAGCTTTACATCTGGTCAAGTGGAGAGACAGTTAATTGAAGGAAAACTACAAATTAGCAACATGACCAGACTTTATTTTCTTAGTGCCTTTATGAAAATCATGTGTAAAATACTCAGAAGGAATTAAATTGAATTATCAATGAAGTAGGAAGGGTTAATTAGCTAAGAACAGAAAGCTGATGTAAAATTTTTTAAAAGGAGGAAGATCAGAAGTCTGAGGTCATCCTTGTATATATTGTGAGTTCAAGGTTAGTCAAGGGTACTTGAGAATCTCAGAGGAGGGTGTTGAGTGTAATAAAGAGGAGGCAGGAAAAGAGGTCAGGGAGAAGGCTAAGGAGGTAGGTTTCTGAATTTGAGACATTTTCTCCCAGAAAGTAAACTAAGTGCGTTGATATTTAGAATACTGACAAAGATGGCACTTTCATGCCTGCGCCTCTTCCCTCAGGACCTTTCGATTGCAGCTACCTATGTTAATACTCTGCTTACTCCCACATCAGAGTTCCATGGGGAGTCCTTTGACAAGACCTACGCCTCGTTCCCCAGCCAACTGGTCCAGTCCTCTTACTTCTCCTACTAACACATCACAGAATACATTATCTCCAAGGTGAGGTGATGGTTTTCATTCACGTTTTGTGTTACCAGTTTCCATTCTTAGAAAGGCAGAGTAACTATAATCCCAGCAGACTTCATTTGACTTGAAATGTCTTACAAACTGAGCGGATCCAAACAACAACGTTAATTGTATATAAAATCTAACCCTTTAAATGGTGATATATAGGATGAAAGGTATTGTTATCTTAAAGAGTATAGTTACATTTTTCAGGCTGCAAATGGTGCCTGTCTTTTCTATTATACTTCTTAGTGCAAATGGCAGTATCAGTTATGGTGTTAGATAGAATACTGATGAATCACTACTGAAAGGTCAGGAGGGACTTGAGATTATAGACAAAGCATAAAAAAATAATGGGGAAGAGTTCAATGTATCGTCAGTGCAGGTGACCGGGCTTGCTCAGCAAACACCTTCACCTGATAGACCATCTTGCCATACCTAAATTAAATCCTTAATTTATTAATCAGTATCCACCAAGCCCCTTTTTCTGGCCTTTTGTAAAATAATTTTTTTTTCCGGTTTTTCAAGACAGGGTTTCTCTATAGCTTTGGAACCTGTCCTAGAACAAACTCTTGTAAACCAGGCTGGCCTCAAACTCACAGAGATCCACCTGCCACTGCCTTCTGAGTGCTGGGATTAAAGGCGTGCGCCACCACCACCCAGCTATAATTTCAGAACTCAGGAAACTCTTGAGTTTGAGCCTGGGTTGGCTACGGAGTGAGTTCTAGTCAAGTTTGGGTTACAGAGTGAGTTTTTATGTCAAAAAATGAATGATTCTTATCTTCATAAGTATTTTATACAATATCCTTAAATGTGTTTATTTCAACAGGGTCAGGTTTAGACCAGACTGGGCCTTAACCTGCTATGTAGTATAGGATGTCCTGCACCCTTGACCCTCCTCCTTCTAGTCCCCAAGTGCTGACATTACAGGTGTGTACACCACACCCAGTCTGTTTGTGTTTTTAAAATATAGCTGAAAATTAATAGCCAGCTGTGGTAGCTTACACCTCTAATTTTAGCACTTGGAGGAGAATTACAGTGTGTTCAAGACTAGCCTGAGATACAGAGTGAGACCCTCAAAATTAATAAATAAATAGAACAAAGGGGGATTGGAGAGATGCTCTGTAGTTAAGAGCACTTTGTTACAGCAGACCTGGGTTTAGGTCTGAGCACCCCCTGGAGTTAACAGCTCTTTGTTAAGTCCAATTCCAGGGGAACTGTTGCCCTCTTCTGACCTCCAAGGGTTCTGCATACACATGATACACATGTATAAGCAGAATACTCATACACATAGATATAAAAATCAAATCAAGCAAAATAAAATGTAAGTGAAAATTAGTACCTTCTCTTTCACAGTGCGTTTGATTACGACACAGAAAACATGAATTCTGAGGACATTTACAGCTCCCTTAGAGGTGTCACTGAGGCAATCCAGAATTTCAGCTTCAGAAGCCAAGAAGACATGAGTGAACCACTCAAGAGGGATCCTAAAAAAGAGGATGCTGACACAGTAAGTGTTTACATGTTCACACCGTCTGTCACCACATTCCTAGCTCACCGTATCCCTCCCACAAGTGTTCTTACATGGTCACCCCATCTGTTACCACATTCCTAACACACCAGATCCCTACTACATGCATGTTCTTATATGTTCATACTGTCTGTTACCACATTCCTAACCCACTGCATCCCTCCCATATGTGTGTTCTTAACATTGCAGCAGGCTGCTTTGGTTCCCATCAAAGTGTGTGTGTGTGTGTGTGTGTGTGTGTGTGTGTGTGTGTGTGTGTGTGTGTGTGTTTTAAGCTTTGCTTTCTGGTATTTTCACATATAATTTTTTAGGAGCCTGCCACTCTTCAAGCATTTACAAAGTAAGTATCATCCACCCATATAGTGACAAGTTTTAGGTATTAGTTCTGTAGGACAAAGTGTCTTCCTATACTTCTTCTGAGATTTCTAGATGTTTACTGTGGAGTTTGGGTTAGACTGTACAATAAAGGAAGGTGAATGTATGTATTAGACTATGGTGTCAGGGAATGAGGCCTCTGTCAAATGACACCTTTACTGAGACTTAAAGCCACAAAACATAGAGAAAAATTCTATGAACTGATTAGGAGCCAGCTTATGTAGCTGAGGACTCGGAAGAAAGCTGGTGTATTTGGAGCATGAAGAAATAAAGTGGAACTTGGTCACAGCATATGAGTTAATCACTGACCTGGGCCTAGAGCGTACTGGGCTGTGTGTCTTACCACACAAGTTTTCGTAAATAGAAGTCTACATATTCCCCATAGTAGTTGTAGTAATAATAGTCTGCATCACCAGTTTATGTGTTCCCTCAGAGCATGTCATAACCTATGTTCCTGACATGCAAATACTGTTATCTAATGCTTTCCTCTGCTGTGGTACCTCAGTGGTGCATCTCCTTATACTTATCTCTGGCAGCTTAGACTTCTCTTGAAATAAGCCATCCCTTCATTCCTGTTGAGAACATTGCTGCTCAGTGTCCACAGGGCCATGGGATTTCAGCACATCTCCAAAGGACTCCTCACCTACCTTTCCCTTACTCGGTTTTCTTTATACCTGTCTGGTAGAGCTCAGTAGTAGTGAACTAATAAAAATGCTTGTCAAAGTCACCCAAATTGAGGTTCCCTGTTCTAAAGCTGCATGTGGTAGCAACAGCAGGTTGGTAAGTATCACTGCTTAAATGATACCTAGGCTTTCTGTGTTTGTTTGCAAGTATTACATAACCAAGGTGGTGCCTCAAGTAATGCCAAGAGTAGTGTTTGACTTGGACTGCAGGAAAGATGTGTGTAGAGTTCCCGTCGACCAGCATGGCATACAGTTGCTCAATACCACTAATGATTGTGGTATTTCTGGTGATAATAATTTTGAGGCTAGTATTTGTATTAATATTGGTGTTTGGGCAAAGGTGTTAATGTATCCCAACTTTATTAGCATCCATTTGAAAATTATATTGACCTTTAAACCAGTCCTTTGGGAGGAAGAAGGCATAGAAGTAAAAGCTGAAAGATATTATTAAGATAGTTCATTATTCAAGGACAGTATATTGTGCCAAATTTTAAAGACAATTTGTTATTGTTGTTTGTTTCATTGCTGGGAATGAATTCAGAGCCTTGAATGTGCTAGGCGAACCCTCTTAGCACTGAGATATGTCCTCAGCTATGTTTTGCTAATGAAAGTCTTTGTATCTGGCATGGAGAAGGTGTTGCTAATCTCAGTGTATATGTTAGTTGGTTGACCCATTGACAATAACAACATTGGTGATGGCTTATTTGCCTCTCAGCTGTGGTTTCTTTACATCTTTATTTAAGTTTTTTTTTCCTTTCTTTTTTTTTGGGGGGAGGGTTCAAGACAAGGTTTCTCTGTAGCTTTGGAACCTGTCCTGGAACTCACTTTTTAGACCAGTCTAAACTCACAGAAATCTGCCTGTCTCTGCCTCCTGAGGGCTGGGATTAAAGGCATGTGCCACCACTGCTTGGCTATTTAAACTTTTTCATTTTGAATATATGTTACATATTTGTACAATATATTTGAATGTATATTATAACCCATACTGTTTGTCACTTTTTCAATTATTGTTACCTTTTTTAACTTACTATTTTTATTTTAAGTGTATGGGTGTTTTGCCTACCTATACACCTGTACACCGTGTGTGTACAGTGCTTGCAGAGGCCAGAAGTGAGTTTCTGATCCCCTGGAGCAGGAGTTACAGATGATTGTGAGCCACCATATGGGTGCTAGGAACTGAACCAGGGTCTTCTGGAAGAGCAGCCTGTGCTCTTAACCACTGAGGACATTGACTCTCCTGGAACTAGAGGAACAGGTAGCTGTAAGTCACCTGTGTAGGGACTGGGAGCTGAACCCAAGTTCTCTGGAAGAGCAAGAAGCACACTTGACTGCCAAGTCTTCTCTCCAGCCCCCAAGAAGCATATTTTTAGAATGTGAAGAAGGTATTTTGAAACAAGGTAACTTGCTGTACCTTTCTCTTTCTTTCAATAGATATGTGGTCCTGGGATGTCAGATCCACGAGCAGGAGGTGATGCCACTGACTCCAGCCAGACAGCTCTTGATAATAAAGCATCTTTGCTCCATTCAGTACCACTTCACTCCTCTTCACGTTCTCGTGATTATAATCCATATAACTATTCAGATAGCATCAGTCCCTTCAACAAGTCTGCCCTCAAGGAGGCCATGTTTGATGATGACGCTGACCAGTTTCCTGACGGTATGTTATGGGTTACAGGGCTCCTACTTACATTTTGGAAGACTGATAATCAGTGAAACAAGTGGATTCATTTGCTCTTTTGTTGCAACTCTTTAAAATGTAAGGATATGGAGAATGGGAATATGTATTTGGTACTGGGAATTAAGGAAGGCTTACATTTTCAGAACACAGACTGTAGTGACTAGGGAGCCATGATTGTGAGAGCAAGAGGCAGCTGCTCACATTGGCATCCCCAGTCAGAAGTGAGTATGTCCTGATGCTCAGCTCTCTGTCTCCTTTTTATTCAGTCTGGAGCTCCAGCCGTGGGTGTTGCTGTCCACAGTCAGGGTGGATCACCCCTCTTCATCTAAACATCTCTGAACCCAAATATATGTGTCCATGGTGACTCAAAATTGACAAAATATACTCTCCTAGCCTGTAGGTATTTATTAATACTATTTTAGTAGTGTTATGTTTAGAATGAGAACCTTGGTAGTCAACTTTACCTCGCCCTCAAAAATCAAGGAAGCTCTAATATCCTCTCAGGAACAACTTAACCATATATAAATTTATAGCATATGAATTTAGTTTATTTCCAGACAGACTTTTATACTAGAATGACAAAGATCTTCTCATGAAATAACCCATTCTTTATAATAGCACATTCAGTGTGAAATCATAATTTCTTTTATTAATAAAGGTTGGTTCCGGGGCCTGTTAAAAGAGAGTGTATTATTTATGCTTACATGAAGTTAGGTGGAATTAGCATTGGTCTAGAGGTCTATGGATACTACTATGCATAGTCTGCTGGATAGTAACCACTCTCTAGTAAGTGTCCATGTCACTTCTGGAAAGAGGTAGTTGTGACTGTTCACTCTGCCCTTCTTTTTTTAATTGATTTTATTGAGTTCTACATTTTTCTCTACTCCCCTCCCTGCCTCTCTCTTCCCCGCTTCAACCCTCCCCCAAGGTCCCCATGCTCCCAATTTACTAAGGAGATCTTGTCTTTACCTACTTCCCATGTAGATTAGATCTATGTAAGTCTCTCTTGGTGTCCTCATTGTTGTCTAGGTTCTCTGTGATTGTGGTTTGTAGGCTGGTTTTTTTTTTTTTTGCTTTATGTTTAAAAACCATCTATGAGTGAGTACATGTGATAATTGTCTCTCTGTGTCTGGGTTACCGCAATCAAAGTAATCTTTTTTTAGCTCCATCCGTTTTCCTGCAAAATTCAAGATGTCGTTATTTTTTTCTGCTGTGTAGTACTCCATTGTGTAAATGTACCACATTTTCCTTATCCATTCTTCAGTTGAGGGGCATTTTAGGTTGTTTCTAGGTTCTGGCTATGACAAAGCTGCTATGAACATAGTTGAGCATATGTCCTTGTGACATGATTGAGCATCCTTTGGATATATACCAAAAGTAGTATTACTGAGTCTTGAGGAAGGTCGTTGTCTAATTTTCTGAGAAATCGCCACACTGACGTCCAAAGGGGTTGTACCAGCTTGCATTCCCACCAGCAATGCAGAAGTGTTCCCCTTTCCCCACAACCTCTCCAGCCTAAGTTATCATCAGTGTTTTTGATCTTGGCCATTCTTACAGGTGTAAGATGGAATCTCAGAGTTGTTTTGATCTGCATTTCTCTGATGAGTAAGGATGTTGAACATTTCCTTAAGTGTCTTTCAGCCATTTTAGATTCCTCTGTTGATTGCCAGGCGCACGCCTTTAATCCCAGCACTTGGGAGGCAGAGGCAGGCGAATCTCTGTGAGTTTGAGGCCAGCCTGGTCTACAAGAGCTAGTTCCAGGACAGGCTCCAGTGCCACAGAGAAACCCTGTCTCGAAAAACAAAAAACAGACAAACAAACAAAAATTCCTCCATTGAAAATTCTCTGTTTAGACCTGTACTCCATTTTTTTTTATTGGATTATGTGTTCTTTTGGTGACCAATTTCTTGAGTTCTTTGTGTATTTTGGAGATCAGGGTTGGTGAAGATCTTTTGCCATTCTGTAGGCTGCCGTTTTGTCTTGTTGACCATGTCCTTTGCTTTACAGAAGCTTTTCAGTTTCAGGAGGTCCCATTTATTAATTGTTTCTCTCAATGTCTGTGCTGCTTGGGTTATATTTAGGAAGTGGTTCCCTGTGCCAATGCATTCAAGTGTATTTCCCACTTTCTCTTCTGTAAGGTTCAGTGTGGCTGACTTTATGTTGAGGTCTTTGACCTATTTGAACTTGAGTTTTGTGCATGGTGATAGATATGGGTCTTCTTTCATTCTTCTACATGTTGAAATCCAGTTATGCCAGCACCACTTGTTAAATATGTGTTCTCTTTTCATTTGATATTTTTTCCTTCTTGGTCAAAAATCAGGTGTTCGAAGGTGTGTGGATTGATATCTGGATCTTCTATTCAGTTCATTGGTCCTTCTGTCTGTTCTTATGCCAGTACCAGGCTGTTTTTAGTACTGTAGCTTTGTAATAGAGTTTGAAGTCAGGGATTGTGATGCCTCCAAAAGTTCTTTTATTTTACAGGATTGTCTTGGCTACCCTGGATTTTTTACTTTTCCATATGAAGTTAAGTATTGTTCTTTCAAGGTCTATGAGTATTTGCTGGGATTTTGATGGGCATTGCATTGAATCTGTAAACTCTGCCCTTTTGATCAAAGTAAGCAGCAAGACACAGCCAAGATACGTGAGAAACGACAATGAAATACAAAATACTATGTTTCCTTATTGATAAGGAATTAGTTTTTGTAAATAAATTTTTTAAAGATTTACTTATATTTTTATGTGCATTGGTATTTTCTGTGCATGAGGGTGTCAGATCTCCTGGAACTGGAGTTACAGACAGTGTGACCTGCTATGTGGGTGCTGGGAACTGAATCCGGATCCTCTAAAACACTAAGTGCTCTTTTTTGTTCTTGTTTGTCTGTCTTTTGGTTTTGTCGACACAGGGTTTCTCTTTGTAACCCTTACTGTCCTGGAACTCACTCTGTAGACCATGCTAGCCTCACACTCAGAGATCCACCTGCCTCTGCCTCCCAAGTGCTGGAATTAAAGGCGTGTGCCACCATAGCCCAGCAGCAGCCAATGCTCTTAACCATGGAGCCACCTCGTCAGCCCAGACTGTTTATTTCTATGAGTCCATGTTACTTTCTTTGAAGATTTCTGATAGGGGGCTGGAGAATGCTAAGAGTTCTTGCTACTCTTGCAAAGGACCTGAAATCAGTTCTCAGCACCCACATGGTGGTTTATAAACATTCATAACTTCAGTTCCGGGAATTTGATACCCTCTTTTGATATTTCGAAGCACTAGACATGCACATGGTACATTTGCACACGCCCAGGCAAAACCCTCAGATACATGAAATAGATTTTTTACAAAGTTCCAGTGCTATATGACTTTCCGTGGTAAACCTGAAATACCTCTCAGAGCCAGACACAAGACTGTGTGGGAAAGGCATTTGCCTCAAGTCTGACAACCTAAGTTCAATCCTTGGAACCCATGTGATAGAACAAGAGAACTGATTTCTGCAAATTGTCCTCTGACTTTCATGCATATGCTATGATGGACATATACACAATAAGTAAATGCTTTTTTGGAAAAAAAATGAACCAGGCATAGTGATGCATGCCTACAAAGACCCTATCTCTAAATAAATACATGAGTATTGAAAAGAGCAAAAACTCTTTTTTTATTTTTTTTAGATTTATTTATTTATTATGTATACAACATTCTGCCTCCATGTATGCCCGCATGCCAGAGGAGGGCGCCAGATCTCATTACAGGTGGTTGTGAGCCACCATGTGGTTGCTGGGAATTGAACTCAGAACCTCTGGAAGAACAGCCAGCGTTCTTAGCCACTGAACCATCTCTCCAGCCCCCAAAGAGCAAAACTCTTATGTAGGACTGGAGACACAACTCAGCTGTGAAGGATATTCAGCGCTCTTGCTGAGGACCCAAGTATGGTTCCCAGTATCTAGGTCAGGCAGCACACATTTGCCTGTAAGTCCAGCTCCATGGGATCTGATGCCTTCTTTTGGCCTCTGAAGGCATTTGTACATATGCGACATACACACATAGATGTTTACCCATGCACATAAATAAAAATTGTAACTAAAACCCAGCTGCTCTTTGATAACAGTTTATCTCAGCTTGACTCTGAAACATAAAGAAAATTACATTGGCCAGGCATGCTGTTGCATGCCTTTAATTCCAGCACTCATCAGCCACAACTACACAGTGAGACCCTGTCTAGATGGATGGATGGATGGATGGATGGATGGATGGATGGATGGATGGATGGATGGATGATAAAAATAAAAAATAAAACCTTTATACTGTCCATTTTCAAGGGAAAAAAACTATTTCAGAACAAAGAAAATAGCTCTTCTCGATAAAGTTACTCTCTGCTGAAAAAATTATGGTCCATGGAAGGAATGACACGATTAGATAATGAATATTTTGTTGTTGTTGTTGTTGTTGTTGTTGTTGTTTTATGAGAATAGAATAGAGTAATTTAATTCATTGAAGGCCTCTTCAAGTGAGCAAACCTTTTAAACTAAATGATCAATTAATTTCTTTTTTGAGAGAAGGTCTCATTTGGTAGCACAGACTGGCTATTGGGGGCTGGGATTACAGGTGTGATCCACTATGTTCAGGTTTGCAACCTTTTAATTCATAAAAAAAAATTTTACTGATTCTATTGAGCTATACATTTTTCTCTGCTCCCCTCCCTACATCTCCCTCAAACCCTCTCCCATGGTCCCCATGTTCTCCAGTTTACTCAGGAGATCTTGTCTTTTTCTACTTCCCATGTAGATTAGATCCATGTAGGTCTCTCTTAGGGTCCTCATTATTGTCTAAGTTCTCTGGGAATGTGATTTGTGGGCTGGTTTTCTTTGCTTTATGTTTAAAAGCCACTTATGAGTGAGTACACATGATATTTGTCTTTCTGGGTCTGGGTTACCTCACTCAAAATGATGGTTTGTGTTTTGTTTTGTTTTTTTTCCTAGCTCCATCCATTTACCTGCAAATTTCAAGATGTCAGTTTTTTTCTGCTGTGTAGTACTCCATTGTGTAAATGTACCACATTTTCCTTATCTATTCTTCAGTCAAGGAGCATTTAGGTTGTTTCCAGGTTCTGGCTATGACAAACAATGCTGCTATGAACATAGTTGAGTACATGTCCTTGTGGCACGATTGATCATCCTTTGGATATATACCCAAAAAGTGATATTACTGGGTCTTGAGGAAGGTTGTTTCCTAATTTCTGAGAAATCACCACACTGACTCCCACAGCCCCTTTATCCCACAGCCTCTCTAGCATAAGTTGTCATCAGTGTTTTTGGTCTTGGCCATTCTGACAGGTTTAAGATGGAATCTCAGAATTGTTTTAATTTGCATTTCTCTGATTACTAAGGATGCTGAGCATTTCCTTAAGTGTCTTTCAGCCATTTTAGATACCCCTGTTGAGAGTTCTCTGTTTAGGTCTGTATTCCACTTTTTTATTGAATTATTTGTTCTTTTGATGACCAATTTCTTGAGTTCTTTGTTTATTTTGAAGATCTTTCTGATGTGGGGTTAATGAAGATCTTTCCCCTTTCTGTAGTCTGTCGTTTTGTTGATCGTATCCTTTGCTTTACGGAAGCTTTTCAGTTTCAGGAGGTCCCATTTATTAATTGTTTCTCTCAGTGTCTGTGCTGCTGGGGTTATATTTAGGAAGTGGTCTCCTGTGCCAATGTGTTCAAGTGTACTTCCCACTTTTCTTCTATGAGGTTTAGTGTGGCTGGCTTTATGTTGAGGTCTTTAATCCATTTGGACTTGAGTTTTGTGCATGGTGATAGATATGGATCTATTTTCATTCTTATACATATCCCGTTATGCCAGCACCATTTGTTAAATATGTGCTCTTTTTTCCATTTGATATTTTTTGCTTCTTTGTAAAAAATCAGGTGTTTGAAGGTGTGTGGGTTAATATCCAGGTCTTCAATTTGGTTCCATTGGTCCTCCTGTCTGTTTTTATGCCAATACCACTCTGTTTTCAGTACTGTAGCGCTGTAGTAGAGTTTGAAGTTAGGGATTATGATACCTCTAGAAATTCTTTTATTGTACAGGATTGTTTTGGCTATTCTGGGTTTTTTTGCTTTTCCATATGAAGTTGAGTACCGTTCTTTCAAGGTCTGTGAAGAATTTTGCCGGGATTTTGATGGGCATTGCATTGAATCTGTAGATTGCTTTTGGTAAGATTGCCTTTTTACTATGTTAATTCTGCCTACCCAAGAGCATAGGAGATCTTTCCATTTTCTGGTGTCTTCTTCAATTTCTTTCTTCAAAGATTTAACATTCTTGTCATACAAGTCTTCTATTTGTTTGCTTAGAGTTACTCTAAGATATTTTATGCTTTTTGTGGCTATTGTGAAGGATGATGTTTCTCTGATTTCTTTCTCAGACCATTTATCATCTGTGTATCAGAGGGCTACTGATTTTTCTTTTTGAGTTAATTTTTTATCCTGTTACAAGGGGATCTACAGGGCGGGCTTGGATAAGAATGCTACCTACAGGGGGCTGGAGAGATGGCTCAGTGGTTAAGAGCACTGCCTGTTCTTCCAAAGGTCCTGAGTTCAATTCCCAGCAACCACATGGTGGCTCACAGCCATCTGTAATGAGGTCTGGTGCCCTCTTCTAGCCTGTAGGCATACACACAGACAGAATATTGTATACATAATAAATAAATATTTAAAGAAAAAAAGAATGCTGCCTACACTCTTGCATACCTGGGGATTCCTTACACTGTTCTCTAGTGTTTCTTGAGCTACGATTTTTAAGGCAAAGTGGTGATTCGGGGATCAAAACTGAAAATTAATGTTTATTTTTACCTCTTTTATAACCAATGTTAGTTGTGACTGTGTTTCATAATGTTCTAAAGTGATTATTTCTACACCTGCGAGTCAGCCTATAAAATTGCAAAATTAATATCACTTCTTTTTGACAGATCTTTCCTTAGACCATTCTGACCTAGTTGCAGAGCTGTTGAAGGAACTGTCTAACCATAATGAACGTATAGAAGAAAGAAAATTTGCCCTCTACGAACTCATGAAGCTAACCCAGGAAGAATCTTTCAGTGTTTGGGATGAACACTTCAAAACAATATTATTGTTATTGCTTGAGACTCTTGGGGATAAAGAGGTAAGTTACAGGATATATATATAAATGACAGTCTGTATTGTCTGAGTATTTACGTATTTATTCTTACTTGACTTTGGGGGGTACAGGACTAGGAATTATACCCAGACAGGGTCTTTCCAACCCTTGCTTCTTGTTTCGCTTTCCTGTTGATCAGCTAGTACACATTGGAAATTGACAAAATGACTCTGCTCTGTTGCTGTTTTCTGCATGTAAATTTTACTCTCTTTCTTTTAACAGATTTTTGTTTAAAAAATTTTTAAGAAGTTTCCAATAGTTAAAAGGAGATTGATACACTGCTGGGTGGTTGTAGTGCACGCCTTTAATTCCTGCACTTGGGAGGTAGAGGCAGATGGATCTTTGTGAGTTCAAGGCCAGCCTGGTCTACAGAGTGAGCTCAGGACAGCTAGGGTTACATAGTGAAACACTAACTCAAGAAACAAAAAGCAACAACAACAAATAAATTATAAAAACTCTTTTCAGTTGTCAAAATTCCTTTCATAGTCAAAATGTTACTTATTTACTTATTTAAAAGTAATAAAGCTGGGTACTTGGAAGGATTAGGTAGAAAAATCGAGTTCATGAACAGTTTAGGCAATAACGTGAGGCCCTATTTGAAACCAAGTACCAAGAGTTGTTCGCAGGTCTTCATTGCAGAACCTGTACTTTTCTGAATTTTAGCTTAAAAAACATAGCTCTTTCTTTTTCCTCCTGTCTTTCTTTTGACTGTCGGTTAAAAGCTGTAGCATGCTTCCTCTGACCCTCTGGGCCTGAAGGTACCCTCTGCCCTGTGTGCAACCCCTGCCAGCCTCCATGCCTCACTCAAAAGTCAGGGTTTTTCTTCTCTTCTCCATGTCCCTCCTTTAAACGACTTCCAGAATTTTTAACTTCTCTGCCCTGGTTTTTTCTCACAAACTCTGATGGTCTTAAGCCTAGTGGCGCCCGAACGTGGGGCTTTCACCGCCACACACAGCACCTGGGGTCTGTTGGCGGCCCCACGGCCTTTACCCTGACTAGCCAGCTCCTAGCTTTAGTGCAAACCCTATTCGCACAGCCGCGGGAACAGTAGGCATCTACCTACAGCTTCCTTAGGCTCTCCTTAAAGCCTGCACTGAATCCCAGCTCCGTTCAATAGAATTAGGCCGGGGAACTTCTTTCCAGAGTCGCACACCTCTGACGACTAGCCCCCTCCAAACCTCCGGCGGATCGGGGAGGGGACTTCCCTGCTTCTGCAAATGCGCTGCAGCCCTACCCACCCTTGGGTCTGCGCTGCTAGTCTAAATTTAACCTCTGGATTTGAGTGTATATATTCTAGAGTTTACTTCCTGAATTGACGCCATGGAGCCAGCCACCAAGAAAACATGCTTTACTCAATTCTTTTCCAAGCGGGCGCCATCTGTAGAAGGGGCTGCGGGCAGGCCTGCTTTTCATCCCACCCAGCTCCCACACGGCTAGCTTAGCCCCGGAAATAACACACAAACTGTATTCATTTAAACATTGTCCGGCCCATTATCTCTAGAGAGTTAGTTACTGACTAACTCACATCTTGATTAACCCATTTCTAATAATCTGTGTAGCACCACGAGGTGGTGGCTTACTGGAAAAGATCATTTTTAAAAAATCTGCATAGCCAGAAGGTGGTGGCGCATGCCTTTAATCCCAGCACTCGGTGGGTTAGCATAGGCAGGCAGATTTCTGTGAGTTCAAGGTCAGCCTGGTCTGGAGAGTAGTTCCAGGACAGGCTCCAAAGCTACAGAGAAACCCTGCTGAAAAAACCAAAAACAGGCAAACAAAAAATCTACGTATGTGGCTGGAGAGGTGGCTAAGCAGTTAAGAGTGCCTAATGCGATGCTGGAGAGATGGCTTAGAGGTTATGTGCATTGCCTGCTCTTGCAGAAAGGTCCTGAGTTCAATTCCCAGCACCCACATGGTAGCTTACAACCATCTGTAATGAGATCTAGTGCCCTCTTCTGGCCTGCGGGCATACATGATAAATAAATATTTTTTTTTAAGTGCTTAATGCTCTGGTGTAGTCCCTATGTTGAATGCTAGACTCCCAATGTTAGGTAGTTCACAGCCACCTGTAACTCCAGCTTCAGGACATCCCCTGCTTCTGGCCTCTGAAGGCACCTACACTCATATGCACATAACTAAAAATAAAATGTGGATGTAGTAGCAAATGCCTGTAATCTCTACATTCTGGAGGTGAAAGCAGCAGAATTACAACTGTCAGGTCAGCCTAGGCTACATTGCAACTTTGAGCCCCCGCCTGTCTCCAGATACAACAAAAGTGAGAGTGACTAAAGACTTTGTAGCTAAGAATGATTTATTATGTATTGAATTATTTATGCAGTGTCTCTCCTCCCAATCTTAAAGAGCTTATAGAAATTGAAAATTTGGAAAGAATTTGTGCCATCCAAATATTAAAACCATTTAAATGTTTCTTCTTAGCCTACAATCAGGGCTTTGGCATTAAAAGTTTTAAAAGAAATCTTAAGGCATCAACCCGCAAGATTCAAAAACTATGCAGAACTGACTGTCATGAAAACGTTGGAAGCCCATAAAGATCCTCATAAAGAGGTGAGTTGAATTACTGTTGTGTTATGATTGTCTCTTGTACCTGTAAGCACTTCCTGATAAGTCTCTGGTTTTATTTATTGTGTATGTGTGCATGTTGTATGTGTGTGAGCATTTGGTCAGTTCTATCTTTCCACCTTTATGTGTCTTCTGGAAATTATACTCCAGTTGCCAGGTGTATATGGCAGGCACCTCTATCCACACTTAGTCTTATACTGTACCTTGGATTTGCCTGAAACTCACTATGTAACCTAACTGACCTCAAACTCTAAACACCTCCTTGCCTCAATCTTCTAAGTGCTGGGATTGCAGGTGTGAGCTAACATTTCCAGCAACAGTGCCCTTAATCATTTCCTTCACAAATACTTGATTTTTGATATAATGCATGATTAAGATGTAAGCATAGTGCTGCACATAAATCAGTTAGTACAGTATTTAATGCAAAAGGGTGAGAACCTGAGTTCAATCCTCAAACCTATGGTGAAAAAAGCTGACTATGCTGGTGTGAGTCTAATTCCAGGACAGGCTGATGGAGACAAGCATATCACCAGGGCGTGCTGAATTGGCAAATCTCGTGGTAATGAGAGACCCTTTCTGCAGAAATAACTTGCAGGATGGCAAGATAAAGGGTCTTGCTGCCAAGGCTTTTAGTTTGACTCACATGGTGGAAGGAAAAAGCAACTCCTCCAAGTTATCCTCTGGCTTCCATATATACCCAGGCATTCATGCATGCATACATAACACACAGAGAGAACTATATAATTTAAAATTCTATTTTGGAATATGTTGGGTGGCTTCTAAGGAATAACACCCAGCTCTGGCCTTCACACACACAAACATGTCATAAGACCATTCCCATAAAATAGGTCTTCGGGGAGTCATCTAATTTTACTTTCTCCATTTTGCTCTTCGTTTTCTAATTAGAGTTCACTAGCCTTTTATTCCACTTAGCAATAAGAATTTGCTGTTTATACAACAAGTGAAGATAACAAATTGATGTTTTTAAGTGTGTATCGCTTACAGGAGCTGTGTCTCTGTTACAGGTTTATTCAGTAAAAGCCTTTTTAAAGATCTGTTTATTTATTATGTACACAGTGTTCTGCCTGCCTGTGTGCACACGATCTCATTACAGATGACTGTGAACCACCAGGTGGTGCTGGGAACTGAACTCAGGACCTCTGGAAGAGCAGCCAGTGCTCCTCACCTCTGAGCCATCTTGTCAGCCCCTGCAAACAGCCTTCTTAAGAGTCATGTAAACCTCTTTCCTTACTTCATGTTCATGATATTCTTTCTCCCTACAAATCACAGTGGGCTCAGTTCATCGTTAGGACCCTACATTCAAGGAATGCTTGTACCGCTTACATACTCATGACATGAAATAAAGTAAAATAAATAAATGCTTAAAGTCATGAAACACTTCTGCCAACAGTAAAGAACTGGGAAGAAGGAGAATGATAAAGTGGAGTCCTGTGTCAGCAGCTCCTGGTAGTTGCTAGTCTGTTCTTTACCTCACTTTTTGTATTCATATTTACCTCAATATTTTCAATACAAATCCAAGATATCAAGCCTAATTAAGTGCTTGATGGAATTCGTACTTAGGGTTTATAGTTTTGTCCTCCTCCCCCCATGTCTGACTTTCCCTTTTGTTTCAGGTGGTGAGGTCTGCTGAGGAAGCTGCCTCCGTCTTGGCTACTTCAATTAGTCCAGAGCAGTGCATCAAAGTGCTTTGTCCAATCATACAAACTGCTGACTACCCAATTAATCTGGCTGCAATCAAAATGCAAACAAAAGTGATAGAGAGAGTATCCAAGGAAACTCTTAACATGCTCTTACCAGAGATCATGCCAGGTCTAATCCAGGTAAACTGCAAAGCTTGGAGGAGTACACCAGGACGCATGTGTGTTTTGGTTATTTTACACTGTTTTCAAGCAACACTAGTGGCACAGTCTATACTGCCATGGTCAAGACAAAAATTTGTGTTGTGGATATTGGTGGGTGGGTTTAGATATCATCATCCATGCCCCAGCAATGCTTAAGCGTGCATGGGCAGCCCATTTATGGTGGTTCTCCAGTTATTCCTATCCTGGGCAGTTCTAGATGCTTGCATTATTATAATACCCAAGAAAACTGAAAAGGCAGCCATAGAATAGGAGAAAAGTTTTGCAAGTTAGTATCTGAGAACAGCCAGAATATATGTAAAAACAGACTCTTTCTTAATGACAACAAATGTTTTTATAGGCCAAGGACTTGTATAGGCATTTCACTAAGCAAGATACACAAGTAAAATTAGCCAGTGAACAAGTGGGAAAGGCGCTGATGGAAACATACGTCCAAAACACAATGAGGGGGAGGGTCTGGAGCAGTGGCTCAGTGGTTACCATGCACTGCTCTTCCCCCACTCTTGAGAATGTTTTTGTCGTTTTATGTATCTAGGTATTTTGCCTGCATGTACGTTTGTGGGGGGTTTGTTTATTTGTTTGTTTGTTTTGTTTTGTTTTTTTTTTTGGTTTTTTGAGACAGAGTTTCTCTGTAGCTTTGGAGCCTGTCCTGGAATTAGCTCTTGTAGACCAGGCTGGTCTCGAACTCACAGAGATCCGCCTGCCTCTGCCTCCTGAGTACTGGGATTAAAGGCGTGTGCCACCACCGCCCGGCTGCCTGTACATTTGTATACCACATATGCATGCTGATATTTGTAGAAGTCAGAAGACAGCATCTAGACCCAGATGGTTCTGAACTTCCATGTGAGTGCCGAAAATTGAACCCAGGTTTTCTGGAAGTATAGCCAGTGCTCTAGACCACTAAACCAATCTCTCTGTCCTCTCTTCAAGAGGACCCAAATTCAGTTCCCAGCACCTACATCAGAATGGCTCACAACCACTTGTAACTCCAGCTGCAAGAGGATCCAGTACCTTCTGCTGGCTCAGCAGGAACTGCATTCATGTGCACAAAGTCCCACTTAGATTAATCACAGATATCCATATAATTAAAATTAAAAAGTAAATTAAAAACACAAAAACACAATGGAAGGCTGGTAAAATGACTCAGCAAGTCAAGACATAAGCCAGAGGACCTGAGTTCCATCCTCAGGCCCCATTTCAAGTGGAAGGAGAGATCCAGTTCTGCAGAGTTGTCCTCTGGCCTCCACATGCATGCTCTGGCATGTTGTCCACATGTGTGCTCTGGCTTTTGTGCCGTCACATACATACATGCCCACCCACAGTAATAAATGAGCATTTCTAAAGTCATAGTAGATACTACCTCACACAGAGAGAGATGGCTGCAGCCAAGTTAATAGGAAGCAGCTGGTTTAGTGACGTATAGAAATTAGACTCTGGCATATTGCCAACACAAATGCCAGTTGGTGTGCTGTTGTAGGAAACTGTTTAATAGCTGGGCAGTGGTGGTGCACGCCTTTAATGCCAGCACTCGGGAGGCAGGGGCAGGCGGATCTCTGTGAGTTCCAGGACAGGCTCCAAAGCTACAGAGAAACCCTGTCTCAAAGAAACTGAAAAAAGAACAAAAACTGATGATTCCTCAAAAAGTTAATGTAGGTCTGGAAATTTAGTTCAGTGGTAAAGCAGTTATCTAGCATGAACAGGTCTATGTGTTTGATCCCCTGCACCAGCCCAAATGTTTTACTTTATTTTAATTTTTATTGCATGTCAGGTAAACATATAGAGGTCAGAAATGAGCTTGAAAGAATCAACTCTCCTTTCACCACTTGGGTCTTAGGAATAGAACTCAGGTTGTTAGCCTTAGCAGCAGGTGCCTTTACCCACTGATCCATCTCCTCCCTGAACTGTTTTGTTTTTTGAGTTAGTGTAAAATTATAGCCCTGCTGTTTCACCTGTGTGAGAGAAAGGTGCAGCGACACCATGAACAGTCACTGATGAGTGAGTGCACATCAAGTCTACCATACGATAGAACTACACCTCATGGGAGCAAGGAGATGCTGGCTGGTGCATGCCGCAGCATGATTGCCGCTGGAGGAGACCAGACACAGAGCCTTCCTGCCCTGCTCTTCCATCTGCACAAATGTGCAAATGCAGTAGATGAACAGTCCCAGAGACAGCAACTAGAGAACTTTTTTTGCCAGGGACTGTGGACCTTGTTTGTTTGTTTGTTTGTTTGTTTGTTAATGTGTATGGATGTTATGGTTGCATGTATATATGTGCACCACATGGGTACAGTGTTCCCAGAGGCCAGAGAGAGTGTCGAATCTCCTAGAATCAAAATCATAGACAGTGGAAAGCCACTATGCTGGTGCGGGGAATCGAACCCAAATCCTTTGGGAGAGCAGCTATTGCTCTTAATCGCTAAGCCACCTCTGCAGTGGATCAGGAGTTCAAGGCCTCAGTTACTTAGTAAGTTTGAGGCCAGCCTGGTCTACAGAGCGAGTATCAGGGCAGCCAGGGCTACACAGAGAAACCCTGTCTCAAGGGGAAAAAAAAACCAAAAGCATAAACTAGCCTCGGCTATATAAACTGTCTCAAAAATAAAACATAATGCGCATGATGGCTGTGCATTAATCCTGGTAGATGGGTGAGTCTCTGTGAGGCCAGCCTGTTCTACATAGTGCTAGGGCAGTCAGAGCTGTAGGTGAAATCCTATCTCTTTAAAAAAAAAAAAAAAAAAGACAGAGTTTTTGGGGTGGTGGTAGTGGCAGAATATGCCTTTAATCCCAGTACTCAGGAGGCAGAGGCAAGTGGATCTGTGTTTGAGGCCAGTCTGATCTATAGTGTGAGTTCTAGGACAGTGGGGGCTACATAGAGAAACTCTGTCTCAAAAACAAATAATAATAATAATAATAATAATAACAGAGCAAAAGGACTCACAGCCTTCTGAAACTCCAGCTCCAAGGAATCTGGCACCTCTAGCCTCCACACCACCACCACCCCTCACACACTATACAAGATTAAAAGTAAAATAATAAATCTTTAAAAAACGAGAAAAGGGGAAAAGCCCAGGGAAATGGATAGAGGAACCAAATATAGTGGTACTTATCTATAATCCCAATACTTAGGGAGGGTATCTTGACTTCAAGGTCAGTATAGGCATTCTAATAAAACCCTGTCTCAACAAAACAGAAATGGAAATGTACGGCTGGCACAATGGGCCAGCAGTTAACAGCACTAGCAAGAGGACCTGGGTCTGATGCCCATCACTCACAACCATCTCTAACACCAATTCCAGGGGATTCTGTGCCCTCTCTAGCTTCCACAGGTCACATATGAATGCGGTTTATTCATACATGCAGACAAAATACCCATACACATAAGAGTAAAAATTATTTTTAGATGAAGAGGGGAAACGGACAGTGATGTATTGTTTAGAACAGTGGTCACAAACATGCTAGGTTCTGTTTTATGTAACTTGTAAATGTTGCTTTTTAAGCCAGGTGTTGGTGATGTACACCTTTAATCCCAGCACTCAGGAGACAGAGGCAAACAGAACTTTTTGAGTTCAAATCCAGCCAGACCTGTTACACAGAGAAATTCTGTCTTAGAAAGCCTTAAAAATAAAAATAAAAAAGTTATCTTTTATGCATAATGTGTACAGATGTGACAAGTTAGGTCTATTAGGGTAAGGCAGACCTGGAATAAATATTTCAGTGCTCCCTAACCACTGTCATAAATGCTTGTAAATGGGAGAGGCAGAGGGGATTATGCACAGCACAGACAGGCAGTGGAGACAACAATGTGAATTGGAGACAGATTGGCATGCCGAGGCTTTACAACAAGGGGATTTGAGGTCTAAGGTTTGTGGTAATGGTTACACAGCAGCAGGAAGCTAATACAAACCAGATTAAGCTGGTCTCAGAGATCGACCCCGGAGTACAGCTCTGATGTCATACCTCTTAAGCTCCTTCACAGGTTTCCACAGCCAGAATGAACCCATTTCTCATGTAACTCCCCAGCTGATCCCTCCCACCTTGTCTTCCTACTTAATGTGTTTTTGTTTTGATTTTGGAAACAGGATCTTACTTTATATCTCTGGTTGACCTAGAACTTGCTGTGTATATCAGTGGGCCAAGAACTCACAGAAATGTGCCTGCTTCAGCCTCCCAGGTCCTGGGATAAAAGTCATACACCACCACATCAGCCCAATTTTGTGTTCTCCTTTAGTGAAGGAATTTATTCATATATAGAAAGTGCTAGGTTGTTTATGAAATCATGTACTTCTTTCTGTCTGGTATATTCAGCCTTCATTCCTGTTCTTATTTTTTGAGATTTTATTTATTTTTGTTTTATGTACTAGATGTTTGCCTGTATTAATTATGGCTGTGCACCATGCATGCAGTTCCTGCAGAGCCCTAAAGAGGGCATTGAATTCTCTGGAACTGGAGTTACGAATAACTGTGCACTACCATGTGGTTGGTCCTTTGCCAGTGCTCTTAACCACTGAGCCATCTCTCCAGTGCCTTGTCCTTATTTTTTGAGATTGAATTTTATGGTAGTCCAGTTTGACCTTGAACTTGCTATATAGCACAGGGTGACCTTAAACTTGTGTTCTTGCTGCCTTTGCCTCCCCTCCTGAGTGCTGAGATTAAAGTGCCACCAAACCTGTTTTTTACAGTGCTGGGAATCAAACCCAAGACGTGTGTGACCTAGACAAACACACTACCAACTGAGCTCCATCTCTGCCCCCACACCACTCCACTCCATTCATTGTCCCAACTAGCTTCATCCTCCTTTAGTCTTTCATTTGATTGCTTTACGAAGTATTTTCTGGGTATTGTTTCCTGCCTGTGGCATTCAGTAACTCTTCTGGAAAGGTCAGTTATCTCTCACTGGACACTAAGCATTGTTAACCTGACCTATGCTGGTCACATAGTAAGCTCTTCAGTATTTGGATGTCAAATATAGTAGTATCTGAGTGTTTCTTGTAGTTGTAAAAGTCAGTAGAGGAGAGCTGGCAGGAAGAATTAAACTTAGAAACAAGTAATGAAATCAGGATTGTGCTAACTGGGTAAAAAGTGTATAATTCTATAAAGATGGTAAAACTGAATAGTTACATCTTTTAATATTAATTTCTTTCAGAAGGATATTGTCTAATATTGCTGCTTTGCAGCCATTGTAGAAAGATCATATGATTTAGCAGAATGACTTTTCACTCGGTAAATACTGATGTAATTGGTTTAGTATGTAAGAATAGGGTTCTGTGTTCATATACTGAGATCATTGATTTTGTACGTAAGAATAGGGTTTCTGTGGACTATGGGAGAGAATAAAAGGTGCATTCACACATAAGAGAAGTGCTTTATCTAGACTGGGTTTATTGGAGAAGGTTACTTAAAGAGGGAGATGTGTGTGAACCCTTCTAGGCCTGGGCTATAGGAAGGCCTCTTGACTGCCAAATCACAGCATCTGGTTGTGAGGACATCTTCACTGCCTCAGAGCTACCTGTCGAAGGAGGCTCTCTGGAAGTGTTTGCTGCAAAGTGCATTGGGAAAGGGGCAGGTGCAGACCAGCCGCTTTTAAAGAAAGATGTGGTAAGAACATTGACAGATGGTGGAGTGTGGGGTGGGGTAGAGAGGAAAGCTGTCTCGTTCCGGCCTACAGGATGAAAGTTGGCTCAGGTGAGAGTTCAGGTTAGAGCTCTCTTCTGTCCTTGAAGGTGGCCTTCTTAAACTGTCAGAGATACCAACATGACCTCTCTTTCTAGGGTTATGATAATTCAGAAAGCAGCGTCCGGAAAGCTTGTGTCTTCTGCCTGGTAGCTGTTCATGCGGTCATTGGTGATGAATTAAAGCCACATCTCAGTCAACTCACTGGCAGTAAAGTAAGTAGCACCGAAGCTCTCGGGTAGCAGCCATGACACATTCTGAAAACTTAGTTCTCTGTGTGGTAGATGACGGACTTGCTGCTCGGCTTTTAGTAAATAGTTCTCTGAGCTTTCACTTTGACTCTATTCCTCCAGCTGCCTTTTAACTCCTTTTTGCTCCTAAGGTCTGTGCTGCAGTCACTAACAGCACAGAGATGGAATGGTCAGCAGGCTGCTGTGAAGCTGATACCTGGAGTTCCTGTTTATTTGGAACAGCTGACAGACTCCCACCCTAACATCCTAACCCTTCCCTAAGGGAGGACTAAATGTTTAGTGTTTTTGGCTTATTTTTACTCTTTGACTCTTTGGAGGCCCACTGCCCAGCTCCCAAATAAATACACGGAGACTTATTCTTACTTATGAATGCACTTTGTAAGCTATTTCTATCTTGCCTACCTTTTGGCCTCTGGGCTTTTACCTTTCTATATACCTTTCTTTGCTTCTTACCCTGTCTTGCTGTGTAGCTGGGTGACTGGCTCCTGGCACATCCTCCTCACTCTTTTCTCTGTTTTCTCTTCTTTCTCTCTCTCTCTCTCTCTCTCTTTTTCTCTTTCTTTTAGATTTCTGCTCCTATTTATTCTTTCTGCATGCCATCCCCACTATCCTTTCTCCTGCCTAGCTCTTGGTCATTCAGCTCTTTATTAGACCAATCAGGTGTTTTAGGCAGGCAAAGTAACACAGCTTCACAGAGTCAAACAAATACAACATAAAAGAATGAACACATCTTTGCATCGTTAATCAAATGTTCCACAGCATAAACAAATGTACCACATCTTCAACTAGTATTCCACTACATCTTAGTTAAGAACAGCTTGTTGGCGGGTGGTGGCACACAACTTTGATCCCAGCACTCGGGAGTCAGAGGCAGGCAGGTCTCTTGTGTGTTCGAATCCAACCTGGTCTATAGGGTGAGTTCCAGGACAGCCAGGGCTATTACACAAAGAAGCCCTGTCTCACACACAAAAAAAATAGATTATTGTAAATATTCACAAATTACTTTATATTTTCCAAAATGTGGAACACTTGAAGTTTTTTAAAGATTCCCTTGAAAATTTGATTAAGACACCCTTCACACCTGTGAACCTAGCGCCCAGAGGCTAAACAAGAATCAGTTGCTTTATTCTTTTTTTTTTTTTTTGTCTGTCTTTAAGTTTCTTAATTTTTTGTTTGTTTTCTGAGACAAAGTCTAGCAGGCCTGGAACTCAGAGATCCACATGCCTCTGCCTCCAAGTGCTGGGATCAAAGGTGTGCGCCACCACACCTAATGTGTTTCTCATCTTTTTCTGGTGCCACTGCTGCACCTACAGGCGATGTGCCTGACACTGTGAGAAAGAAAGAGGAGTGCCTGTGAAAGGGACACTCAGGGTTTTGAAGCTAGTTGGTCAGTAGCTGTACAATGGCACCTGCCGAAGGGCTTCCAGCCACGGCTGCTACTGTCTTCTGCCAGGTCTTTAACTTATCTACTCTGTAGGAGGGCTGGCTCACGGCCACCTGCCCTGCACAGCTTTCTCTGTCCTGCTAAGAACTTTACTGTTTTTAAACCTGCTACCATACCCACCACCTTGGGGACTGCTGGAGTGCCCTCCACCAACACTGCTCCCGTCATGGTCCTTAGTTTAATGGCTGCTGGCCATTATATTTCCAAGACTCATTAGAGTCACCGTCACCATAATTGCAGCAACCAGAACTTCATGGTCATCACCATCGTGGTTTTCATATTGCTGTCCATCACTCCCATAGCCTCCTCGGTTCCTGTATCCAGTACCACTGATGTGGTCACCATTACCTCTCGAATAGCACCCATGCTGCCGCCTCCATCACTGTAGCTTCCTGTCCACTGAAATTTCCACCATGGCTAAAATTACCTGTTACCTCCAAAGTGTCCTCTACATCCCCTGAGTACCCAGATCCACCCACAGGACCTCTCTGTGATCCAGCAGACCACCTCTCACATTGGAAGGCCTTTACACTCACAGTTTGTACCCATTAGTATTTTTGAGCATAATTTTTACCAACTATCTCATGATCATAATTCAGAAGAGCAAATTCTCTCCCTTTTCTATTCTGTCCTAGCTTTATGGTTCAATCATGCCATACTTTTTCAAGGTGTGCCTCCCCCCAGTTATTTTCTGCATCTGTCACACCACCCACATTTTCTAAACTGATAAGGGACACTAGGCTTTAAAATCTTTTCTTTGGTTCCACTATCAACCTTGTGTAATTGAGTACACACTGCTGTCTCTACTTCTTAACACAAGACTAAGTCACCAAAAGGAGGGGGGCCTGGAACGTTTTGTTTGGGAGTCTCTCATTACCATCTGATCTGTCAAGATGTTTTCTTAAACTATTGTCTGCAGTTCTGAAGCTTAGGACACCAGTAAACAGTGTTTGCAGCTGCCCTGCTTCCTGTGAATCTTGACCTTCCATTTCAAGTTCTGAGAATTGCTACTTGGAGGCCAGACTAGGGTGCATAGCAAATTCCAGGCCAGGCTAAACTATAGCTCAAGACTGTTTCCAAAAGCAGACAGGCAGACAATCAAATACTGGACTCCTCTTCTCTCCAGCTTTGTTCTTTTGTCTTGTTCTGGTTTGGGGATGAGCAAGAAGACTGAATTTTCTGTGTTAAGTTCTGCTGTGCAAGCTGGCCCTGGGTTTGCATCAGATCTTCTGTCACTGCCCCTGAGTGCTGAGGTTGCAGGTGTGGGCTACCACTCCTCTAGCTCCTCCTGTGGCTTTACGGTAATCCAGATTAACATGCAACTTTGACTTGGTATCTTAAACTAGAACTTTCTAGTTCATCCTTAAGACTTAATCAGTTATATAAAGGTTATTCGTCTTACTGGATTAATACTACCGGAGCTTTGAAACTTGTTCTTATCTACAGGATGAGAATTAACTATTAACAGTTGAATTATAGCTGAGTGTAGCCAACTGGAGGCATTTACCTTCATTCAGAGTTTTCCCAACCCCAACAATTGTCATTACTGTGAACAAATTTATATTTTAAGTTGCAAAATAACAAAGTAAAAATAGACATAAGGGGTAAGATATGTGACTCAGTTGTAAAGAGCTTGCCTAACATGCTCAAAGCCCTGGGCTCAGACCCCAGCACCACATAAACTGATCATGATGAAAACAAGAGGGACAGCATGACTGTGGGAGACCCTATCTCTAAACACACCTGTCTTTCAGATCTCATCTGTGTATATATGTGATTTCTTAGTGAGCGTATTATTATAATTAGAGCAGTTTGATCAAACGGTGCATGTGGCTTTGATCCACAGATGAAGCTGCTGAACCTTTACATCAAACGTGCACAGACGGGCTCTGCAGGAGCTGACCCTACTACTGATGTGTCTGGACAAAGTTAGTGCTGCAGGTGGAGCCTCCCAGGTCTCTGAAAAGGCAACTGCCCGCCCTCCTCAAGGAAAGGAAACTCTCAAGTACAGCTTTGGGGACTAAGCTACCCTTTCCCAGTTCTAGCTTTTTGTTTTGTTCCGTTTTGTATTTTCTGTAACAGAGGGTGTCCTCAGTCTGCATGTGACTTTATGATAGTTATTCCAAATTCAGGAAGAGCAGTATTAACATCAGTTGATCAGTACAAAGTAATTTTTTAATCTAATTCACCATTTCACATGTTTGTACTTCTTTGTCTTCCCATTAACCTTTGCCAGTGTTATGATTGTATAAATTTTTTTAAATACTGGTTAAACAGGAATGCTTCAGGCTTTAAAAGTTTAACAGTCTAAACTTTTAATTTTGCCTTTGTTCAACTGCAGAATATTTTTATTGCTACTTTGAGTTTTGTTCCGTATCATGTCCTATGCTAGAAATATTGACAATGATGTGAGACAAAGCAGGGCTACTTGGAACTCCAGCCAGACTCCGTTGATGTGGCGGTGGTACGTGTCATTAGCTGCGACTTCTTTGGGATGACCTCAAAGAGAAATATCATAGAATCAGCCAGTTCTGTAAGACTGATGGTGTCTTTGGTTCTTGATCTTGCCACCTTTGTTCAAAGCCCCTTCTCTGACCCCGTAAGAAAGCTGCACCAAATCACCTGCCTGGGTTTCCATGGGAATTATTAAAATGGAAGGTTTTGTTGCAGAACTTTTTGGTTTATCTTTGTTGTGAATGATGCTTTTTGTTGTATTTATTAATATCAAATTCACTTATGAATAGACTTGATAATGGAAACAGATGAGAAAAATCAAGTGCATGTGTGTCTTTGACTGTCTTCTGTTTCTTAGTTGATAAACTAATTATTGCCATGGGAGTCAACTAGCACCTTTTTGTTGAATGATGGAACCTGGTTTCCTTTGACCATGAACTTGTCCTATGAAGACACTGATCCTGATGAGAGAGAAGATGGTGCCGAGGCTCTTGTACAATGGGCTCACACTTTCTACCTCCTCAGGGCTGACACTTTAACTGACTCGCTGCCTGTAGTGTCTTGGAAAACTACTTTAAGGTGATGTTTTGTTACCTTCCAACATTTTTTTTTAAATCACTTCTGCTAAAGCTATTATTTTTATGTGCAGCCAGCTTTTAAATATTACCAGTTTGGGTAAAAGACCAAATTAGGTAATTTGGAACCAGGATACTATTGATTTCTCATCTTGACCTTTTGTTTTGTTTTGTTTTGTTTTTTGTTTTTTTCTAATCCTCACATAAGGTGAATTTGACTGGAAAGCAAATGACTGTTAGGGAAGCAGTTTGCTATTGTTACAGAGTTATCTATACTTTGTTCAGATGAAAAAAAATTGTAGAAATGTATGTAAAGAACTTAAGCCAAGAGAACTGGACGGACGATTGGTTGTAGACTTTTCCCTTCCTTTGTTTTTGTTCTGTTCTAGCAGCAAGGAAAAGATATTGCTCCATATTCTCCCCTACCTGTAACAGTTTTGTTTTCTGCTGTTAATGACATTGTGTATTTATAGTTCTATGCTTACTGTTGTGCATATACTGGCAATAAAACTGTACATAACATTACTTGAAAACCTTACCAGTGAAGCTCAGCTGTTTCTGTCTCACTGTAGCAATAGGTGTGGGTTTGTCTATAAACATGAAAGGTCTTGGACCAGTTATGTTCTCATGAATTTTATATGTGCATTTGAGTTGCAAAGATCAGGAACAACCACCACAACCCAATATATGTAAGTACATGTGTGTCTTATAGCTCAAACATTGAACTCTGCTTAGTAATATTTTGTATTCGGAGGCTTTTAGTGTATTTCATAATCATTTTGAATTAGTATATTGATTTAATTTTGACCTCTGCTTTAAAATATTATTTTACTTACTGTTAACAACTGAAGAGATCAATTTAAAATTAATAATAGCATTGAAAAATTAGATCTAGCCCCTGTGTCTGACAGATAATCATACAAAGCTACTGTTTAAATGTCTTCAGCTGAAGAAATGGCTCACAGCTGAGAGTGCTTGCTCTTTGAGTAGGGTTCTCTGATAGAATGAATCTCTCCCTGTATATATAGAAAGGAGATTTATTAGGTCCAGCTAATCCAACAGTGGCTGCCTATGAATGGAAAATCCCAAGAATCCAGTACTTGCTCAGTCTACAGACTGGACATCTCAGCTGATCTTCAATATATGCTGGAATCCTGAAGAAGTAGGCTCTAAGGCCAGTGAAGTATGGGGATTGCTAATGAGGCAAAGCAGGCAGGCGAAGAGCAAAATCTTTCTTCTGCGTTCTTATATAGACGTCCAGAGAAGGCATGACCCAGGTTAGAGGCAGGATTTCCCACCTTAGAATGTCTTCACTTAGACTTAGAAATACTAGTAAAGAATATAAGGACGCAAAAATAATGAGACAGAAAAACAGAGAATAGTACTGGGAGGGAGTGAATACTGAAATTGCCCGCATTTAATTTCCAATTACTTAAAATAATCCCGATCCCAAAAGGTAGGAGTAAGATAAAAAAAAAAACTTTATTAACATGATACAAGGAAAGGAATGAACAGACCAGTTGAGGGTCATGGGCTACATCCATAGTTAAACATTTTGTTGCTAGAACTAAACAAGTCAGGCTCACGCCCTAGACAAAAACATTCTGTAGGCAAACCACTCCCCGGGTGAAATCCAATGTTATCTTCCTAAAGGAGCTGGAACCTTAGTTGGATACTTAGACTTTTGTTTGAGGTAGAAACATACCTACTTCTCTATCCCTGAAATACAAGGTCTGGCTATTAACCACATTTGTTGACAATAATCTTGAAAGAACAGAACTCTCCGACCTAAATCTAGGTAAGACCTTTGTCTGAGGTAGAAACGCAATAACCTTGAAGGATTAGAGGTAAGTTCCAACTCTTTAATCTTTGGTCAACATGGAAATAGGCTCATGTTTCTGGGCTTCCACATTTTCTCCTTCAGCACATCCCATTCAGAAGTTTCAGGTTAACCCAAGGTGGGTTTGTAAAAGTTACTCTGATGAAAAATAGTGATTTGTGATTTTTGTTATTGTGGGTTTCATTACTGTTGTTTGGGTCGGGGTCATTTGGAGACTTTTGTGTTGTTGTTGTTGTTGTTTCCTATTTTAAAGACACAGTCTCATATAGCATGGGCAGCCTCAACCTTACTATATAGCTGAGAATGATCTTGAGCTCCTGGGGATCAAATCCAGAGCTTCATGTGTGCTAGACAAGCATTCTACTAACATCCCCTGCTCCAAAATGGTGGGTTTTACTTCAAAATATTGCTATCAACTTCAGATTCCACAGAAAGAAATAAAATTTCAAACAAAAGAAAGCATCAGAGGCCAGAGAATTTCCTTACCTGAGTTTTACCTCAGGTCAGCCACACAGTGCAGTAACCAAGGAAACTGGACAAATACCTTTAACGATGGCTGGCTAGTACTAAAAGTCTGAGAGTTGTCTGAGTACTGCATGGCTCCACTTGTAGGCAGTGTAATGATTCAGCCACACAACATGACTGACACTTCCGGGTTCTGGGACCACGCATGTGCGGACAAGCCCTCAGGTAGAAGTGCCTAATGACCCTGGGAATCTTAAAGGACCCTGCATAACCCACCGGCAGCATGGTTGCATCATCTATGTATGACGCAGCTGTGTGAGCCCTTGCGCGCATGTGCGCGCTCCATCATCTGCATATGATATAACCACACTATCCCCCAGTGTGCATGCGCTAGGCAGCTTTTTTTGTTTTGTTTTTTGAGGAAAACATTGCCTTGTGGAAGGTTCAAGGCCCTTCCTATTATATCTAGGCTGAGCAAGGTATACATCCAAAGAGAATAGGATCCAAAAAGCCAGAACATGCAGTAGGGATAAATCCTGCTGCCACTGCCAGTGGACCCTCAGTCTGCCCCAACCATGCAACTGTTAACCACATTCAGAGGAATTAGTTTGGTCCTATGCTTGTTCCTTCCCAGTCTAACTGGAGTTGGTGAGCTCCCATTACCTCAGGCAAACTCTTTCACTGGGTGAACCCATCATGGTCTTGACCTCCTTGCTCATACTCTCATGCCTTCCACTCTTCAACTGGACTTTGGGAGCTCAGTCCAGTGCTCCGATGTGGGTCTCTGCCTCTGCCTCCGCCTCCATCAGTTGCTAGATGAAGGCTCTATGGTAATATTTAAGATAATAATCAGTCTGACTACAGGGCAAGTCAAGGTTGGGCCCCCTCTCCTCTATTGCTTAGGGTCTTAGCTGGGGTCATCCTTGTGAATTCCTGGAAATTTCTCTAGAGCCAGGTTTCTGCTGACCCTATAATGGCTCCCTCAATCAAGATATCTTCTATTACGTTCAGTGTGGTAGGATTTATATTGAGGTCTTTAATCCATTTGGACTTGAGTTTTGTGCATGGCGAAAGATATGGATCTATTTTTATTCTTCTACAGGTTGACATCCAGTTATGTCAGCACCAATTTTGAAGATGCTTTCTTTTTTCTATTGTATAATTTTAGCTTTTTTGTCAAAAATCTGGTGTTCATAGGTGTGTGGATTAATATCCGAGTCTTCAGTTTGATTCCATTGGTCAGCATCTCTGTTTTTATGCCAATACTAAGCTGTTTTCATTACAAAAGCCCTCTTTTCATCTCGCCCTTTGAACTCATATATGGGCGGCCGGGTTTTAACTCTCAGCCTCTCACCTAAAACCTCTCCCCTTCCTGATCACCTGCTTCCTCTGTTGTTATCCCATATTTGCTCCCTATTATGGGATTTTACCAACTACTCATTACCTCAACCATGTGCCAATTTATACCCACTGCCGATTAAAATAGGAGATCAGGTACTACTCTCTCCTCCCCCCAGACCAATGCCCCTTAAATGGCAGTCCCCTTTAAAGTAATTCTTGTAACTCCCATAGCTGCCAAGTTTGAGGGACTCTCTCATTGGATCCACCTGTCTCACCTTAAACCTTTTACTCTTTTTTTTTTGATTGATTGATTATGTATACAGTATTCTGTCTGCATGTATGCCTGTAGGCCAAAAGAGGGTACCAGGTTTCATTATGGATGGTTGTGAGCCACCATATGGTTTCTAGGAGTTTAACTCAGGACCTCTGGAAGAACAGTTAATGCTCTTAACCTCTGAGTCATCTCTCCAGCCTTTTACTCTTCCAGCTCAAGATACCACTCATATATGGTAACTCAAACAGGGCCTGCTCCCTTAAGTTCCAAAGGACACCAGGATCATCTACTTTTTCTCCAGTTCCAGAAAAATAAAAGTTTCATCACTACACTCAACCCTTCTGTGCCAAAAACTTCATATACTCTCCCTCTTTCTCCTATCTGTTTTTCCAACTTCTCTATATCTCCAATATCATGCTTAAATTTCCAGTTAACCACTCAACTGTTATTACAGGGACCATCATTAAACATAGAGCCAGAGGTACAAGGATTGATTGTAAAAGGAAGAACCAGCCAGATAAGGTGGCACATGTGTAATTTCAGCACTTGGCAAGCTCACATGCAAGAATTACTGTCAGTTCCAAGCCAGCTTGATGCATAGTGAGTTCCAGATCAACCAGGACTGAATAACGAAACCTTGTTTCAAAACACATGCACACAGAATAAAAAATGAACAAGCGGCCAGGCGGGGGTGGCACACACTTTAATCCAAGTACTCAAGAGGCAGAGACAGGCAGATCTCTGAATTTGAGACCAGCCTGGTCTACAGAATGAGTTCCAGGACAGGATCCAAAAGCTGCAGAGAAACCCTGTCTAGAAAAACTAGAGAAAAATGGACAAACAGTAAAAAGCAGGCTGATCTTTGTGAGTCTGAAACCAGTCAGACCTACACAGTGAGGCCTTACACAGTCACACACACACAAAGTCCAGAGGGTCAGGGTGGGATGGAGTATTTCTCAGTGAAGTGCTTGAAATACAAGCATTCAGGCCTGAGTTCAATCCCCCAAACCCACACAAAAGCTGGATATGGAGGTGTGATCGCAGTACCAGGGAACCAGAAACAGATCCCGGGGGTTCACTAGTTAACCTGCCTAGCCTAGTTAGTGAGTCCCAGATTCATCATGCAAACCCTGCCTCTAAGAATGAGGTGGAACTGATTGAGGAAGGCATGCAGCATTAACCTGCCCCACAGGCACCTGTATGAAGGTGCACACAGGAATGCAGGATGCTGCTGACTTAGGATACTTGGTTCTAGATTTGTAACACAATTGCATAGAAGAGCAGTTGACTCTACTGCCTGGACTTGGAGTGTCACCATAACAAATACTGACAGGTCTAAGGCTTTGTATCAGGTAGCAGAAACTGCAAGGCCAGCCTCGAAGAGGATGTGCTCTCAAACCCAAGAGGCGCGTAGGAGACTTTTAGAACCCAGAGATGATGGGAATGCTCAGTGAAGGGAGGTCCACCCGGAAGCTGGAGGAAAAGTAATCTTATTCTGTAATGGCAAATGCTCTGTCAGTCCTGGGACCTTGCTTAGCATGGAAAGGAACAAAATGAGCCAGGTGTGGTGGCATACACCTGTAATTCCAGCACTTAACAGGTAGGGGCAATAGGAACA